CAGATAGTGCTCCATATGAGTTTCACCCAGACCCTCCGTTGTAGATGGAAGGTATGGGTTGTTTAATTCATGTACCTTTGTAATAGGCATTTCTGAAGATGGGTCCATGGAAAATTTGAAAGGTTCCACATTCATTTGAGGCAACATGACCCTGTTTATTTGAGCCTATATTGATTGTCTAACATGGTCTGCTGGCATAGTGGTTTTCTCATCCCACTTCAAGAGCCCACCACATTCCCAACATTTGTCCAAAGTTCAAATCTCATTGTGATCACATCCTTTGGCACCCCTCACTCCTCCAGTATTCATCATGAGGGCCCTACCTAAGACTGTCATGATTTGCTTGTTACACATTGTCCCCCTGGCAATTTTGATGGACCCAGACCCACTCCTATGTCATGGGTGTGGCTGGACCAGGCTCTACCCCACCCTAGAAACACCAAGCTGGGAATGGAAGTCTTGTGCCCAATTTAGGCGCACAGGCACCTGTACAAGTGGAGCCCCATGCAAGCGGTGGTTCTGCTCCAACTGTGGAAGTATTGAGTGGAAGCCGCTAGTCAACACTCCTATCTGCACAATACACTCTGATCTCCCTCAACAATTGGTGGAACAAGGCCCCACACTGCCAAATGCCCGATTTGGCATGAATGACCCAGCTCGTGGATTGCTAGTGGAAACAAATGAAAGATTGGAGCCCAGACAACGTGATGCTGATGGGAAATTCTTACCCCGATATGACAGAGACGGAAGAGCAGTAGCTGGAACATCATCATCAGCACCCAGGAGCCGTGATGTTAAGGGGAGATTCTTACCACGTTGAATACAACATGGCACCCCCCCGCGGGAATCATTTTTCTTGAAGGCTAAAATGAAAAACTCCAAAAAACTGCAAAATACCACAGGTCTGAAATGGTATACTTTATGGGTATCTATTTCAGCTAGATTAGAGATCGTTTGTTCGTACTTGGGTACCTGTTGGTACCTAGGTACCTGTTGAATTTTTTCAAAAAATAGGTACCAAGTACCGCACCAGGCACCTCCCGGCGGGTACCGGCGGTACTTTTGGCGGGTACCGCGGGTACCTCCCCTCTCTTTCTAACCTAGGTTCACTTTCAGATTACCAAGTCACTTTTTTATTATTATTTTTTCATATTTATTGTAAAATATCAGTCCCAAGTCACTTTTTTTCCATTCTTTCATATTTATTGTGAAATGTTGACAACAAATTGGAAGAATCCTACTGTGTTATTATATTTTCATATTTATTGAAAATATCATTCCCAAGTCACTGTTTTTCCTTTTGTCATATTTGTTGTAAGACATCTTAAACTAATTGGAAGAACCTTACTTCATTATTATTATTATTTTCATATTTATTGTAAAATATTACTCAAGTCACTTTTTTGGCATTTTTTTCATATTTGTTGTCAAGTATCTACATCTAATGGGAAGAATCTTGCCTTTTTTCATATTTATTGTAAAAGATCAATCCCAAGTCAATTTTTTCATTTGTTCACATTTAATAATTTATTTTAAAGCTTAAACTGTCTACAAATTATATCTAATTAGATTATTAGAAGAATCTTCATCGTTTTCCAAAACTATCACCTTCCTTTTTAATTTTTGGTTAGACTTCTTGTTATCCTTGAGTCCCTGTTTCCATGTAGCCAAGGTACCTTCTTGGAGTTCTTGGATTAGAAGGCCGCCGTCATTTTGGTAGGGAAGTGAGGGGGTACCTGTAGCGGTACCTAGGTACCTGTTCAATTTTTCACAAAAATAGGTACGAAGTACCGCACCTGGCACCTCCCGACGGGTGCGGGGCGGGTGTGAAGGGTACCCCCCAAGCGGTACTAGGTACCTAGCAAAGGGTACCGCGGAACGATCTCTAATGTCAGCCACAAAGTACATTTCACAGTACATGACATGTACCAAGTAACTGCCATTCAACTTACAACCTTATGATGAATATTGGATAATGTAATATCTGAAATTGTTGTTAATAATTCATTTATTTATCTTCCCTTCAAATATTAGTATTAACATTGGTACACATATTAATTATAAGCATATGAATTGGAAAGATATTCATGATATTTATTGAGCTATTTCATGAGGAAACTTGAATGTGAAATACTTGTGACATTACTGGATAATATGTACCAGAGGTTTCCCCAACAGTAACCTGTTTGGCTTTCTCAGCTTGAATATAATATTCAAACAGCCTATAAGTACTGTGAAAATAGGGTACCGGTGTATATTAATTTACAGGAGACCTAGAAACATATCCCCCCCCCCCTTCAGATAGATGCATATAGTCCCCAGTATTTTGCCATCAGGTCCCTTTGTTGGCTAATTCAAAGCATATACAACAGAACCGCAGATCTCATGGGAATAAGCCTCTATTCAAATGCAGAGTTACAATTATGCAAGGAAGACTTGTCTTTCCCATGACTTCAAGACCCCTGCTGCATGCACAGCCACTGCACAGTAACTGTTCTTGTGCCCATGATGTGACAATTAAGGATGTCAAACAGGCAGGCTTGGGCTGGCCTTCTAGGGCCCACCATCTCAGCAGGCAGGCTTGGCCTGGCCCATTTAGCAAATGGGCTGGCCTGGCTTGGCTCATTTTGCAAACAGGCTGCCCGCAGGCTGCCAGCACAGAAAATAAAAGATAAAGGACAAGGAGGCTGGCAAGTTTTTTTTCATTTAATTCAATATAAGTAAAAACAAAAAGGACTACAGCTTGATTGTGGTGGGCAATTTTTTTCATTTCATTCATTGTTCAATGATTTTATGTAGAAACATGTGTCAATATAAGTAAAAAAAAGAGAAATATGTGTAAATATAAGTAAAAAGAACTACAGTTGTGGATGGCATAGACTGACCCAGGATTTTTCAGATGTCCAAATTGTCAAGGCAAAAAATGAGGATTTTTTTCAGACTTTTAGGCTTTTTTTAGCCTTCAAAATGCTTAGAATATACTGTAGAGCATTCACTGATGCATAGGGTAGATGCTACAGGTATGATAGAGGAGTCTACAAGGTATAACCCCATGACTATGCATGGTTAAACCCCATAGTTATGAATTTTGCAGGTGGGGCAGGGTCGGTTTATGCCGTCCGCAACTGTATTACCTCTTTTTCTTTGAGCCTTTAATCCAATCCTGAGTGCATATTAAGAATTTGACTGATTCATCACTGAGGCACATGCGGTAATTGTCTAGAATGTGACCTCCAGTAGAAAAGGCGGACTCAGATGCAACTGACGTCATTGGAATTTGGAATCATAGGTCCTTAACTCGGTTGTGTTTCCGGTTTAGTTGACTTAAACCGGGCGATTTAATCGGACCGATGCATCAGTTATGAAGCAGCGCACCATCCAAACGTTCGTGCCGTCAAGTTTTCGGCGCACTTCTCGATTAACCTGCTGGATAGCTCTGGGTGGGGGATGTATGTGTCGTCACCGGCGGGTGATCGACGGACCCCATCCATGGATCCCGGCAATCTGTGATGCTCTTCCGGTAACTCCAACAATCAATTGAGAGAGGGCGGAAAACCAATTGAAAATACCTAGGTTTTCCTGACAGCAGACACACTGGTTTGCTTCAGGCCATTGACAATGTGGTTTGCCGACGTCACTCGTAACTCGTAGAGGTGAAAAGCTAAAAACCCCAGTTGAACCCGTGGTGTGCACCTCGCGACGAAGTTTATTATAAGAGCCTCCCGTGCCGCACAGGGTCGAAGACTGCAGTTCCAGTTCGAACGACACAGTAAACAGGTTGGATGAAAATGACAGCGGCACGGCCGAATCAGGTCTCGATGTTTCTTGGCTGAAGCTGCTCAATCGATCTTCCGACCTCCGCCGACTGAAGGCCACTTGACCTATGTATGTATGCACTTTTTGAAGAGCACGAGATTTGAAGAATTCCTTCGGGCTAAATATACGCGTGTGGCGTCAGCGTGGCAGCCTGACTACGGAGGATTGTTTGACCACCGCCACCGGCGCAATTCCGGCGCCGAAGGTCCATCCTCTCGATCTTGATCAACGTAATAGGAATACTCTCACTTACATAAAGATGTATTGTTTTTTTTTCCTCAGTTTTTATGAAATCGTTGGAGTACTGGCAGGCAACCGTTTAAAGACTCAAGTCCCTCTCGAGGTGAGGCAGTTGGACCAGCGGCGGAACCAGTCACCATTTGAGCCCAGGAGACACAACAACCACCCCAACAGACAACGAATCAACTCGAGGGATCCTTGTTAATTTCTGGTTGGGCGCTACGATTTTAATCAGTCGACGTTGAACCAATCCAATCGAAAAAAATACCAGCAGTTTGCACTTGTATTACTTAATCTCCATATCCCAATACAAGTTTCCAAACCAACCAAACCCAGCAACCAAGCACACACCTTAATCGAACAGCGGACAACAAGAGTCCTAATATAGCAGCCTACTCCTACACCATACTCTGGAAATCAATTTATTGTACACCCAGACGAAGTTGGACACAGAAACAAAAAAAGAACCCACGACGAAATAACTGAACTACGTAGTGGACTCCATTCACCTGTCAACCCATCCAATCTTTGTACATACAGTCCTATCGAATGGTTTGATCGATGTCCAGACTCCATACCATCCACCCATAGAGAACCTTCGGCTACAACGTACTCTGCCGTCCAATCCACCTTCTTCAGAAGACTTGAAAGATAATTTCCTTGACCGGAAACCTCCGATCTATCCATGACGCTCACCTCCATCTTGAGTCTTTAACCACTTTGATACATTTTTCATATATTCGAATCCTCAAAGAATCCCAGTCATCAGCACCAACAGTACCATGATCAACTGATCAGCTGCTCCAATCCACTTCCTTCCCTCAAATTAATCAACCAACTTCAAAAAAAAGGAAAAGAGAAATACATAAAAGTCAGAAAGAAGGAGAGACAGACATAGAGATAGACACGCTCAAAATTTTTCATTGTTTGTTTTGTCTTTCCTTCAAAAGGAAATATTCAAAACACTAGAGAGACGCACAGCAACCCCATTCTCCACCTGAACCTCCAATCCTGAGAGCTCCCAAACCGATGCAGTCGATTCGATATCCTCAGCCTTATCTCGTTCTCCCCTCCCAACTCCATCCAAGCCACCATCCCCATCACCCGTCCCCAGTTCAGGATAGTCGAACCCAACTGTTCATCAACAACCTCCCGTTCCGCGTTCGATGGCAGGACCTCAAGGATCTCTTCAGGAAGGCTGGCACCGTCCTCAGGGCTGACGTCTCTCTAACTCCCGACAACAGGAGCAAGGGCTTTGGTACGGTCCTGTTTGCTAACCGGAACGATGCCTTCAAGGCGATCGAAATCTACAGTAAGTGGTTCTACCTATCTCGACCAATTTTCAGGATTGATCCAGTCTGATCCCTCCTTGCCCCACTTGCCTCATCCTTCTCGCCTCTTGTGGCACAAGATGGATTTAGCTGGCAGACCCGAATCCTCGATGTCAAGCTCGATCAGCAAGATCCTACCGGCGCATTCGGAATGGCAGCAGCAGCATCAACGTGTCAGGTCCCGTCATCCCAACAAAAGAATTATCATCAGCATCAACAGTATCAACAACAACAACAACAACAACATCAACACCATCCAATGGCCACTGTCTCCCATCATAATAGTAATAATAATAACCACTTGACCCAGCCTCAGAACTCACTCCAGCTACCCCCGCCCGCTGGCAATCCAATTAATCTTCACGCGCAGAACTGGAACGGACCGAGTGGTGGTAATAGCAACACCACCTCCGCCGGTGATCCTCATCAGTCATCCTCATTGGCTCATCATCCTCATCACTCCCTCTCACCAGCTCAGCTGCCTAGTATCATACCGGTCTCTGCCTCAAACCACTTCCCTGCTGGACAGCATTCAAACTCCGATCAGTCCCTCAACCAATCAATCAACAAACCTGTTCATAGTTACCAAAAGCATCAGCACTCTCAATCACTCATACCCTTCTCAGATCCATCGCCGAATATGTCTAAATCAGTCTTCAATCCCTTGCTCAGAACCTCGACCCATCGGCCCTCCCGCTCGGTCCAACTTTCTAATCCTCATCCTTCTAGCCTACCTGGTTCATCCTCCACCGCCAGCTCCTCTCAAACACCTCCGAGTCGCCCCCTCGATGTCCATCAACCCGCCTTCAAACCTGCCGGAAACTCATTGAACCAGGCTCTCAGCAGCCTTCACATCTCCACCGTTCAAGCTATTCCGGCACTACCCTCCGTCACCATCTCAACCGCCCCTCCTGATTCTAGTTCCTCCGTCTCTTCTGCCCCTGTTGATACATCCTCACCCGTATCATCACCCTCAGGCTCGGTTTCTCAACCTCAATCCGGTGGTGCTCACTCTAAGTCTTCTTCACACATCGGCTCCAATCCTCCTCATGGTGGCCCTCACATTCACCATCCACAATTGCCGCCATTCCATCACTATGGACCCCCGCACTCCTATCCGCCGCATCACATTTCTAGTACCACATTCAATCATGCGCCCTATTCCTCCGTAAGTTTTCACTTTTTTCTCATCTCACCACTTTCAGGTAAAGGGCAAAATTTCTTTCAAGAGGCAAAAGCTCACTTACTTCCTCTGCCCATGTGTTTTACCCACTTAGATTCATGGTCAGAATGTCTGTTCAGCATCTCGGCTTTTGTTCGTTGGCAATTTGCCGTTCAACCTCCAGTGGCAAGACTTGAAGGACCTGTTCCGACAGGCCGGGAACATTTTGAGGGCGGATGTGGCGACTACGGCTGAAGGCCGAAGTCGGGGTTTTGGGACCGTGCTATTTGCGACCGCCGAGGATGCAATGAAGGCTCTAGAGATGTACGACGGATATGAACTCAAGGGACGGCCGTTGAAAGTTCGCTTCGACCAGCTCAATCATATGTCCTCTTCAGGAAATCCCGCGCCTGGATCATGGCCTGACTTTCCCACGATCACCCCTCCTAACTTCCACCCGATCCATCAAGGTCCACACCAATCCAGCCATCCATTGATCCAGGAGCCCATACCAACAACCAACGAGCAAGGTGAGCGCCCAGGTATACTTCCATCCATGTTCTGGTTCTTACTAACCCCCACCCCAGAAGAGTATCCCATGTATAGCTCCACGACAAGCGCTGAAGAAACGCGAGAAGAGGCCCGGAGCGATCTATGGGCGCCTGAGCCGGTTCGGCCAAGTCTGCGCACCGTGCCGACGATTGTACCGCCTGCTTTGAGTCCGATTGCGTCGCGGCGGTCGAGCTTCTTCAAGTCGAACAACGGCACGTCGGAGTATTCCAGTTCGGATGGTGGACAGGGGGCGAGTGTACGCTCGAGCTCAGGGCCCGAGCCGATCGGCCATCCGGCGAGCCAACCCCGGCCACAGACGATTCCCATGCCGCCGCCCTATGCTCCAGGTCTGGTCTCCCCCGCACTCCCGAAGACGATTCAGATGACTCCCTCGATGCCCGCGTTCTCTTTCCAGCCGTTCATGCCCGCCACTCCACCACTTCTGCCCAACTTCTTCTCCCCCGGCATCGGCCCCCCGCCGACGCCGCCCTATGGGCGTGACGGTCACACGCCCCCACCCGCGCAGACCAAGCCAGTCCACTCGCCTCTGGGATACAACCCGATGTTTCCAAACGAGTCGGATGCTGAAGAAGCCCCGACGAGTGAACTTGATGGCCAGACACGGAAGTTGGAAGACGAGGAGGGTGATGATGAACAGGGGATGGAGCCGAAAAGGATGAACTCGAACGTGGACTGGGGATATCAACAAAGTGCATCTGTGGCCGGCAACCGGCGCACGTCGTTATTTGTCGGGCGAGCCAACAAAGCCGACCAAGGCCCGGCGTCCCAAAACCGACTGGCCCCCCGTGGCGGGTTTGCTGGGCGCCGATTATTGGGCGTCGGCGAGGAGGCCGACGAGGATGGAATGGGCGCCGAGTGCGCTAGTCGTAGGGCTAGCTTCGATGTTGCTAGTCTCTTCAATTCTCAGCACCCTTCCCCTCCCGCTAAGCTCGCTAAACAACGCCCCTCCGATATCATCATCTCCGCGCCCGATAACGACTCCTCTACGAAGCCTGTGGACCCCTCTTCTCTCGTCTCGCTCCCCGCTCTTCCTCCTCCTCCTCCTCCCTCTGATCAGAATACGATCGATAGGGTCGACCTCGTCGGCCTCGGCTTCGTTGACTCTATTTGGACCGATAAACAATAATTCTCTACTCTCATCTGTTTGGCTTCTTTTTATTGGATCTTTCTTCAATCGGTGTGCTTATGTGTGTTTGTTTGTTTTTTTTGTGAAGGGAACTTTCAGGTTTTGGATTTTTTTTTTAGATTTTTTTTTTGGCCTGTCATCTTTACAAACTGTTGACCTTTTTTCTTTTTATAATACCAAGAAAAAAAATAGCTACTATTGATCATATGATGATATACATATATAATAAAAAAACAGTAAATTGTAGGAACTTCTTTTTGGTTCATTTTGGACTCTTTTGGACTCTTCTTCTTTCATCCTTTGTTAATCTTTTCTTCATTTTACATAATCACTCGAGGAAATAATTTCAACGTGTTTTTTTTTGGTCATCTCACTTTCACTCTATTCTTTCTACTTGTTATCTTGGTTCATTCCTCTCCTTTTTCTTGATGTAATTCTCTTTTTTTTTTTGGCTAAGACAGTATTATCTTTTTTTTATGTTGTCTCTTCTTGTGGGATTTTTTTCTTCTTTCTTTAGACTCAATACATATATATATATATAGACAAATAATGATTATTTAGGAATCAAATTGGAAAAAAAAGACAGTCAAATGGAGATGTGATAATAACCTTGTAAATAAATAATTAAAACTAATCGTAATCAATCCTTCACTCAACTTCTAACTTAACTTAATCCCTGCCCCACTCTGACAGAGTGGTAAACCACTCTTGGTAAGCTGGACTTGACTTTTTTCTTTTTCTACTCTTTCTAGATACTCATCAATACATCACACACAATCATGGTGTGGTTTTTGTATGATGCCAGTCGGAAAAATCTGGTTTTCTTAGTTGAATGGAGTTGAAAGGCTCTTGTCATTACAATTTGCATCGTTAATTTGCCATGGCACAATGAAAGATCAACTTTTCAAGAAATAAATCAAGTTTGACAACCCCATGCACAAAGCTTTACATTTTTTTTTCATTCTTCCTTTCTTGAACAATTGGAATATCTTAGTCAAGGGAAAACGGACCAACCCAACCTTCTAATTCAAGACTCCAACAACATCTATCCATTGCTTTTAGAGGGCCCCGGGGCAACCCCGTAGACCCACGGTCTACCCGAGTCGAACGGTCCCTATGCCACTATGTATGTAAGCTGTCTTCCCCGGACACCACCCCCATCCTTGGCAATCACTGGTACAGTCATCTCTCTAAAAAGCGTTGACGCTCGATATCATTGGATATTACTGACTTGGTCATATTCGAAAAAAATTGGATGCTACACACAGAATGGTTGCGGATGATCACTGGAAGAGGAGTATCATAATCAGTCGAAGGACGTCTTAAAACCGCCGTTCCGCTATACACACCGTCGATCTCAAGGTTACAATCAACAAGAAAAGTTTTTGAAAAATGATGACGCTCGGTCTTCCACCTCACAGCTCTAATTGGGATAAGGTCGGGGATGCCTTCTATCGCAAGGAGGAGATATATCGGATGTCATGGCCGGTAATCGACTTGTCTTTCTATCGGGTCGTCGGTGCCCCTTTCGCCGGACCTGTGGGTGGGTCGATCAAAATCATCACCATCATTCTTGCCCCTCACTAATCTAGATATCCTTGCTTCCTCAAATGTTTTAGCCATGACTTTCGATACCTCTAAACCGATTCCAGTCTTAGATCCCAGTTCCTCTATGCCATCCTCCACTCGGCCCCGCATCCATGTCTACTCATGTTCGGGCCAACTCATCCATACCGTTGTCTGGGATCATCCCTCGAGCCTAGTCTGCTTTGGTTTCACAAACGCCGAATCCCTGGTCACCGTCTCATCCAATGGATTCTATCGCCTCTATCCGATCTCCTGCAACTCATCAACTCCGGCTGATCTCCTTCCTTACACCCAACATAGCTTGGGCTCGATCACTGAAGAGATCGGTGTACTGGATGCGATCATCTGGTCGGATGGCATGGTAGTCATGAGGTCTGATCTTACCTTTGTTCAAATCAAAGGCTGGCCGGAGTCTCCCCTCTCAGAGTTCAGTGACCCTGCGGAGAATCTGATCAAAGATCCCAACGAAGGTGTCTCAAACTTCAACCAAATTGATCCATTCTCAACACAACTAGGCTCAGAAAGTCAACCCCACATCTTCAATCCAGATCGAAGCAATGGAAAGAGAGAATCGATCGATTCCGGTGGTCTCACCGAAAAACCAACAGCTTGGGCCGTCATTCCACCACATTCTAGCTCAACAGGGGTCGTACAGATTCTAGCCTCGCGTCAAGATTCGATTGTAGTCATAGATCCAATGGACTCCACTGACCAACGCCTTGCCGCTAAAGGGCCGTTTCTACGGATCGTTCCGTCGCCTAATGGGAAATTCCTTGCCCTTCTGACTGGTCCGGGGAGCCCAAAGCCGTACACAGTATGGGTCGTCTCATCCGACTTCTCGCGGGAACTGAGTGAATTCTCTCTAGTAGAACAGAGCGGACAGGACTTCATGAACGATGGCCCACCCACGCAGATGGTCTGGTGCGGCGGAGATACAATCGTGATTGCCTGGGAAAAAAGTCTGCTTATGATCGGCCCATTCGGCGCATCACTTAGGTGCGTAAGTGAACTTCATATCAGACCTTTCAGCCAAGATTGTGCAAGCAACTCACCACCGGTTCCTCTATTTTTTATCAGATACACCTTTAATGACTCGATTCATCTGGTAACTGAGATCGATGGCATTCGAATTCTATCTTTAAGTACATGCGAGTCCCTATCCAAGGTGGCTTCCTGTACTAGTATGGTCTTTACTCCAGGCTCCACCTCACCTGCGGCGATCTTATTCGATGCGATGGATCACTTTGATAAACATTCTGCACGAGTAGCAGACGAACACATTCGAAACATTCGTAAAAAATTGACCGAGGCCGTCGACGTCTGTGTCCAAGCTGCTGGTCGAGAGTTTGAACCTCGATGGCAACAACGGCTCATCAAAGCCGCTGCATTTGGGAAAGTGTTCCTAGACGTTCATAACCCTGAGCCTTTTGTCAAGATGGCCAAGACCCTCAGAGTTCTTAATGCAGTAAGAGACTATAAAATCGGGATTCCTCTTACATATGAACAGTTAGTTTTCTGAGCACTTCTTGTCGCTTGATTTCTTTTTTTTATTTTTCGCTGACGCTGTCTTGTTTATATCTAGATACATTTCACATCATCCCGATCACCTCATCTCACGACTGACAGCCAGATCGCACTACCTCTTGGCCCTACGACTTACAGAATTCCTGAACCTATCTCCCGCAGGTGTGCTTCGTCATTGGGCCCGCAATCTCATCTTGAACATGGATTCCGCTTCCACAATTGATACCTCCAAATCAGTAACCAGTCCAGCCTCGGTTTGTCGACGGATCGTCTCCAAGCTCAAAGATCGACATGGGGTCAGTCCAGCCGATATCGCAGAAATCGCATGGTCACTTGGGAAGACCAAACTCTGTACAGAGCTACTTGCCCATGAGTTGAAACCCACCAAGCAAATTCCGCTCCTGATGAGGATGGACCAAGGAAAGGAAGCACTCCAACAATCTATCAAAAGCTTAGACCCAGATATGATCCAGACAGTACTCTGGGAAACTCGTGCTCGAAAGCCACTGGCAGAATTTTTGTCAGTGGTCGAAAGAAAGGATGAAGCAATCAGCACTCTCAGAGTATGGGCGAAAGCTAGCGTCGAACGGAACTTTATCAATGAGAAGGAACCAGTCTCGTCCAAAACTATCAATGTGGGATCCGATTGGGAATTGTATCGAGATTTTTGCTATCAAGACGATCGTCGAACAGAGAGTGGTTGTCTTTCTTTGGAAGAAAGCTACTTAACATACTGTCCGACTCTGACTTATACACCAACAGCAGTGACCGATTGGGAGGCATTTTTCGCGTTGAAACTCGGCAAGATTAAGAGTGCTCTCAAGTTTTTCCAGGAAGATTCAGAACGGGTGTTTGAACAGGGAATGTTGAACGAAAGTGTGCGGCTACTAGCCTTCCAGAAGACCCTGATAATCGATATCATGAAGTCTTATGGTACGGGTGCGACTGCCTCTTCGAACCAAGCACACGACCAATTGAAGAAGAATTTCATGGAGGCGATGATTTCGAACAAGGGACTGACGATGCCCAGTTTAACAGAGACGATCAGACAGTGCGTCAAGCTGGGCCTGCGCAAGCAGGCTGACAAGCTTAAAACGGACTTCAAGGTACCTGAGAAACGGTTCTGGTACGTCAAGATGAAAGCGTTGGTAGAGATGAAAGATTGGGACGGATTAGAGAATTGGTCGGGGAAGAAGAGTCCGATCGGATTCGAGGTAAGAGGCTTGAACAGTTGACCAAGAATATCTCAAGTTTATGTTTGTGTTTTAATTTGCTTGCTTTCTTTTTTTTTCTTGACTGTGTAGCCATTTGTGAATCATCTTCTTGCAATGGGATGTCACCGGGAAGCACTCAGATACGTACCCAAATGCGAGGCCCGGAACCGCGTGGAGCTCTACGTCAAGTGCGGCGAATGGGTGACGGCAGGCGAAGAATGTGCCGATCGCGGTGAAACTGCTAAGCTTATCGAGCTCCGTCAACGCTGTCCTAGTCCTCATGTCGCTGCGGCCTTGTCTAAAATGATCGAAGACCTTGCTGCCTGATATCTTTATTCAACTTCCTAACAACAAAAGACATTATTAGTCGATTTACTTCCTTTCTGAATATTGTTATGCATCAGGCCGGTTGGATGTGTTGACAGAGCACACTCCTGGCTCATCGGAATTTTCTCAGTCACCTTTTGGATGTCTGATGTCACTTTTCTTTTTCTTCTTTTTTTGTGAAGATGTTGGTTGTTAATTTATTTACTCAAGCGTTTAGTCTGTACCCATTATTTTTCATCCTGCGCAACATTTTACGAATTTTCAAGAAGTTGCTAGGGCGGGCAGTTGTAGCACTGCTGATTTGCAAATCAAATCAGCCGTCAAACTGGGTTTAAATCAGCCTTTGCTTCATAATTTCGTGGGAAGTATGTCCAAGGTAGGGTGGGAAGCTCCCCTTCAGAAGCAACACCCCACACTTAAACCTTACCCTGAAAAAACAATTGTGTGGAAGTAGTGAACTTTGTTCAAGTAAGCAATCATTTGGCCAACATGAAGTACTGCCCTAAAAAGAAAGGGCAAACTTTCTCAATACTTCCTCCATCCGCAGCGCTTTTTTTTTGCCCACCGCCTACCCACGGCGGTGCTCTGCACTGGCGATGACTGTCTTTTTGGAAGATGACCCGCCCGTTCATGCCATTGGCTCTTCACACTCCGACACAGACGGTTGCTTTGGGCCTATCCCCCGGGATGGCCTAGGCATTCTACACAAAGTGGTGCGCTGAATGTGTTCAGAAGTGATTCAAAAGAATCAGCTCAAGATAGGCTTAATTCTCCAGCCTGCTCCCCCTCTCCCCTTCCATACTTGGGCTGTGGTAGTTGTGAATAGATCAGCGGTGGATTGTACAAAATATGTGCCACTGATATGAAAAAGATTGCGACCTTGTCCTTCGGACTACCTTTTTTGGCACCACGAAAATCCTGGTCCTGGGCGGCATTCAGGCTTAGCTTGATAAATCCCATCTGTGTCAGAAGGGGAACGTTGTTTATCTCCCAGGGCTTCAATCTACTCATGTCGCGACCTGGTATTCTTTTTCTCATCATGACTCCATTGAAGAGGTGCAGAATGGGTGCACTAATTATGTGGTGTTTGAATCGATTGATAACGGTTTAGAACCGCTTCATCTTGTAGCTTGAATTTGAATGCGCTTATTTACAACTATTTTTGTGTCTTAGACACCAAATATACAAATATATAGGTTACATAGATATTGTGATTTCACTAAGAACGCTTTCCGCCTCTTGAGACACCGGATCTACCAGATTTGCCAGCGCTACCTCCTGCAGCTCCTCCGGCGCCTCCGCCAGCCTTCTCTAGATACTGAATGACCAATTGAAAGACGTTTCCGCTGGCACCCTGTGGAACCGGTTCCCTGAGGAAACCATCGATAGCGCTGACGAGGTTCGTTTGCATTGCGTTGCTGCCGCCGGCACCCTTCCCGGTTGACTTCCCGGCGCCTGGTTTTCCGCCCTTGAAAAAAAAAATCAAGTCCTCGTCTCATTAGCCCATGCACCAAAGATAAATCAAACCCGGTTGGAAATATAAAGATGAAATAGATGATTTACCCCCAACGCCGCCATTACATCTGATGTTTCGGCGTCAACAGCGCCAGGACCAGCTGGGGCTTGTGCCACGACTTGAAGCGAGATGTTCATAAGAGTTGCAATAATGCAGATGTAACCGGTTAAGAATTGCATTTTTTGAGTTGAGTTGAGGTGGGTTGAGTTGAGTTGAGTGGATTTGATTTGATTGAAAGTCAAAAGTATGAACAAGATCACTGATGGATTGATGGATTTTTCTTCTAGAAATCTGGGGTTGAATCAGGTTTTTATATACCGGGGTAATAGAACTAAACTGGGGGATATATGATGGATTGTGGGATGAGATGAAGGAATTAAACGACAATTGGGAGCTCTTTTTGTATTGTAGAACAATTCATGGATGTTGTCACCTTCAATGCATTCATGTCGCCTAAACCAAAACATGCCGCGAAATATGCGATTGATGGGCCCCTCCTAGTCCCTACGCTTACGCGTGGCATGAAACACCATTGCCCTCGGTGGCCTGGGCGCCACGCGGAACCGAGGCATCGCGATGTGCAATTGCCGACTGTCTCCGCGAACTGAAGCTTTCCTCAATATCACATTCAGGCGGCGGTGGCCAAGGCATTGTACCAATCTATCAGATTCAGATGGCATAGTGATTGTGAAGCTTCAGCAAAATCCAATCGGTCTGAGTGCTGAGGACCGTCCTGATTCAGTTTTCTCCTGTCTCGTCACTTCTCCTCACCTTGATCATTACCGCACAATTTTGACCGAAAGCTTTTTGATCAATTTCTCAGATTGAGACGCTCAAGCTTAACAACCCGAAAGTTGCATTCTTGCCATTCGCTTATCTCAGGAACTTGTGCCATGGTCACGTATGACCCTCGCCGTCGAACTTCTTCCCCAGGCGGTCAGCTGAATGGTGACTGAATTTTCGTCGTATGTCAGCAAACCTCAGCAGTACACTAACCCAGCAAAGCCCTGTGGAAACGACTGCGGGAGGAATCGGTGTGACGAGTGATAGGATCGTACAGTAGCTCGATCGTGCATGCCTCGATAATTCTTATTTTTCGTCGCGCTTGTCTCAACTATTCTGACAGACATAATACGTTAATTTCCCTTAGTTGCTTATGTCCCGCTTGTCTTTCAATTCAAGGATACGAGTCTCCAAAAAAATACGACAGCAGTCCACATCACTCGGGAGTCAGCTTTGCACTCTTCAAATGTGCTCATGCATTCTAATTTATGACTTGCGTCCTTTCGACCCCGGCGTCTCTTCCTTCTATGAATCAGTCCAAAAACTTGCAAATTTTCCTCGCGGGAAGCCATGTATGAATGAATCATTACGACATGGACTCGTGCAGATTTTGCGCCCCGCCACATGTGCACACCGGGTCAGGTTGGGCACCTGGATGGCGGTCCATTTGGTCCCCCCGTGACCATGCGGATCAGTCTGGGCTCTTGGCCGAGGTTCCACGTGTTGCAATCTCGCACATACATAGAATCTCTAGCTCAACTCAACCCCCCGGGCCGGGGAGGGCGGCGACTCTCTGAGGCTCGCTTCACAAGAAGCACCTGGCGACATTTCGCCTGCCCTAGGTGGAACCTCGGGGTGGAGAGAGAGAAGCAGACTCCATGCGTATTGATCTACCCTGGATCTATATACATCTGAGATAAATGCGGCGAGTCTCAGGGCTCGTACGTATCCCCTTCTGCACCACGCGCGACTGCCTCTGGGGGTCTTCACAGGATCGGTGCATAGTGTCATGGTTGGGCTTCTGCGAGACCCTTCACTGTGTAAGCGGGCTCGTTACTTGTATTAGGGACACTGTGAAAACTCGTGAAAGGTTCGTAAAAGCTGGTATTGATTCTGCCATCAAGACTTTGTAAATTGCTGAGGAAAGGAAAGCAACGCCCAAGGCAGGGTCTGTTTATACCCTGCCGGAATGACTGGAGAAAGAGGGAATCCGGGATGACTAGAGGAAAGAAGACATAGGAAGCCTCAAACAAAGGAGTGTCAAGAAGAAAAAGAAGAAAAGGAATGCACCCCCGTCGTCCTGGAGGACGTGGGCGTCTGTCGTAAGGATGTTGTTAAGATACCCAAGACCGTTGGGACTCGGAAGGGCGAGGGTTAGGCCGAAACCTGTAGGCGGTGTTGGACGGGTACGGCTACAACTGAACGACCAGAGGGCATGCGCCATTCATATTCTCATCCCGGTTAATCACAGTGGCGCCTTGGGAGTCGTGAGCCAAGGCGTGAATATAGGGGCTCTAGGTGAGTAGGTGCCGCAAGGACCACCGGTTTAGGCGAACCTTGAGATATGAGGAATTGGGTCCGGATTTTCATACAAATAGTGCACATACCAGAATCTAGAAACATCAGAAACTCCACTTTGCAGCATGAACGTCAACATCAGTATGATCATGATTGGTCTGGGTATCGTTTTAATGGTGGCTAGTCTGGTTGATTCGATTCAACCTCAAAACGGAAAAGTTTTCAACCCGAGCACTTATGACTTCAGCTCACAAGTAACTTATGGTGAGTGACTCAGAGACTGCTCAAGATATCACGCCAAGAAATTCAACTGAAAAACTCATGCAAGCAGAGGTCAATAAACATCTTAAATGCGGCCATTGTGAAAACTTCTACAGTAAGAAATCCCCGTGAACTGGTTTCCTCCCAAATCCTGTCTAGATACTCACAAGCTTACTTGACCTTGAAATAGCGGAAAGAGGTTGCAAAGTAATATATTATACTGGACCCAAACCAGCCTCAACTGAACAATCTTGCAATATATATTACATCAAGTCATACCACAGTCCAACCTCATATTGTAAGTCCAATCTTCCAACTCAAATCACAGCTTTCTGTTAACCCTTAATTACTGTGCCTAAGAATTTTGGCTTCTATGGTGCTTATATTAATATGTTTTAACTTCCTTGGCCAACAGATTGTGATAACCAATATGGTGAATTTGTGTGTTATGGTGGAATGAAGAATCCTCCAGGCAAGCATTTTGCTTGAACTCATTTTACCCAGTTGGAAGAAGAAACTGACAAAAAAAACCAATTTCAGGTATGATCTGCACACAATGCCGTGAAAGCTAAACAAGCGTCTCTGATCAATTGGATTGAGTGACCACATACACAAATTAAACATTTCCTTTCTTGAAAATCTTGGACACAATTTGATTCTACTCTGTTTGTTGATTGGAGCACTCAAATATTTTCTTTTGTCTTCTGTTGTTTTTGTCTTGACAATTGGCCCATGACTAAAACCATCCCAGGAGCAACCATCAAGCATGAGTAGATGGTCTTGGAATAGACTTGATGGAAAACCAAGTTCTTATTTTAAATCATCTTGTTGAGCCCACTAGCCACCCCACATGCTCATTGGTGGCTCCCCTCTGCCACTAAGTAGGGCCAACCAAGCAAGCACTATGATTGGGCCATCACCCACCCTGAGAGGGCACAGGAAAGCTGTTCCACATGGAATATCTGAGTAAAATATAAATAAATAGTCATCAACAATTGATTCACAAAATTCCAAAAATGATCATGTGGCATTTTACCCTAAGCTGGTACTTATTTAAATCTTGAGGTCTAGAACCATTTTGAAGTTATAGAGATCAAGTGTGAATGTTTAATTGAGCCTCGGGTTTGGAGATGTTGGATCACTCACAGGCTCCGGGATGATGAAAGTTTTCCATGGAGCCCTGGACATACATACAAGGGACAGACCGCCGTGTGGGTGATGTGTGAGTCTTGAGTTGGGGAGATTTTGGAAGTTTCGTCCACGCCGGGTCGACATGCGGTCGGGATGGGATGGGTTTGGTTGACCATCGGTGCCGAATGTTTATGTTGAAGCCGAACTCATCAAAAGTTCCCAATCCAGATGCTTCCCTCTCCGAGCCGATCAACGGTCCGTCAACTCACCACCCAACAGTTGCTTCGTCGCCCCCCATCGACCTTCTCGTGTAGGCGATCCCCTCGATGGTATTCATCCCGACCCGATCCATCAAGAACCGACAGTAACGTTGACCAAGCCAAACCTGTCAACCTACCAGCTGCTACCTCATCATCACCCGAGGCTTCTCAAGCACCTTCGACGACCGAAACCGAGCGGCCGAAACCACCTCCTTACCTTCCCCGTCCACTCGGTGTCGAGGACCCACCAAGTACACGCCCCCCAACTGAGGAGGAAAAATTGGCGAAATTGGTAGACGAGCAGGCGAGGTTGCAAGAACGTAAACATCTGTTAATCAAGGGTTCTATTTACATCTTCATCGTTTTTTTTTTTTTTTTTGGTTTGAAAATTCTCAAAATCGTCAATCTAATCGTATAAATTACTAATTCAGAACATGATTTTTTACATGTAATAATCGCAAACAGAATTTCAGAGGTGTCCAGAGGATATTATCACGACTGGAATCAACTCCGACATAATGGAAATAAATTATGGACGGCTCCACCGAGTTTGATACAAGACCAGGTGGGTATTTTTCTTGATTTATTTTCCCCGTGAGCTGGAGACTAACGAGCTGAAAAACTACATTATTAACATCTGTCGATTTTCTACTAATCTAGCGGGCCTTGTATTTTCCAAATATCAGTGGGGTCGCTCTTTCGAACAAAGAGACCAAACATACCACCGATATCTTCGCAGATAAAGTCTCAATCCTGGCTGTCGAGAGTACAAGAATGTCCGAAGTGAGTAAGGATAAACCTCCCCTCACCTCCCCCAGCGCAGTACACCAATATTCAAAGACTAACATCAAAATTATCGGGATTTTTAGGAACATACGAGGTCATTTTACGGAGAGCCTTTACGAATGTTGGCTGAAGAAGATAACTTGCAATTGGTCAGAGTGAGTCAGACGATCATCAGATTTAGTTTTTCTACAGGGTGCTCTGCTTGTGAATCTAACACGTTGCGTTGATCCAGTTAAACGTGCAAGAAAACCCGCTTAAATCGTGGCTGGTCAGTTTATTCATCAACAACCTACGAAAGACGGTGCCCCCGAAACAACACCAAGGATACATTCTCACGAATCAAAGCCTGGAGTATGTAAGAGAGCCATTGGGGATGGTGAACAAGTTACTAGGATATGTGTATCTGGTCGATTGGAATAAGAAGATTCGTTGGGCGGGATGTGGGTTCTCTAATGCCGAGGAAGTCAGCGCATTGTTTTCCGGTACCAGAACGCTGTTAAAACGATTTGAAGAAAATAAAAAACAATCCAGTGTTTGAAAAGAGTTTTGCAACTGCACTTAATTATTTTTGGGTCGATGCAAACCAAATGTGGACTGGTTCCTGCCGTATGTCATTTGATCATACCAAGGATGCTTAAGTAGCATGGCTTCAGTAATTTGGGCAGGTTTCTGTTAGATTTGACTCCAAAACATTATTACGATCAAATTTTAATCTTGTCTTACACAAGCCCTCATGTGATACGGAGGCAAAAGTGCTAGGGTGAACTTTAAAAGTCTGGTATAAGAAAGTACATTAGAGAGATGAGAAAGCAGAAATATGCATCTTTGTTTAAATACCTTCGTTTTTTTTTTTTTTTTGAAAACTCTGAAGGAATCCGGATGGTATCAGACCCGGCCGCAAAACTCCCGACATGAATAAAGAAAATTTCATATCCCCCCCGTGGAGAGGGAGAGTTAGGAGCAAAAGCCCGGTATTGTATCCAAGAAGAAAAGATGATCAGATGATGTTTTTAGTTATAGTTGAAATGGAAAGATCGGGCGCGATGATGACGATGGATCTTTCTTTAAAAAACCCACAGGGGAAAAGAGCTTTTGTTCTTGAAGGAAGAATCATGTTTACATTTGTGGCTTTATTACTGGGTGCCATTGTCGGAATAGGTGTCGTAGGTTGAGGGAGTGGTGGTGCCAAGAGTTGAGAAGACGTGAGATCAGTTGCCTCATTCCAGGGTGTCACTTCAGTGATTGCTGAAGCTATTGCACTATTATTCGGTGAAAGTTGTGACTCCGACAATCCTTTGACACTCCAATTTTCATAGAGATTGGATCCCGATGAAATAAGGGTGGAAGATCTTTGTGGAAGATCTGACCCAGAGCAAACATGTTTTCCTTTTCAGTCCTTCTACTCTAGACTGACCGCAATACATACAAAATTTAAAATCAGATTCATAACATTGCAGACTTGCAGCTGCTGTCACATTTTTAACCCCCTAGGCCGATTTGACGAAGAGATGAAGATCGGATCATATATCCAGATTGTTTGAGAAATCAACAAGGTCCATGGCCACACCGCCCATATGTAATTAAACTTGAGTAAAAGGTCTACAATGCCCTGACAAAATCATAGACGTCTTTCCAGGCAGAATTCTTTTAAGTGAGCCCCCTGCTATATCTGCAATGGTGAGACAACGCGCCATGGGAATTCAATTTCAGGGGAACTTGAATATAATATACATAGCTAAAAGTCACATTGGTTGCACACTAGAAAAAAAATCAAATTGAACACTTGGCATGCGTTTTTGTCTGATTGTGCAAGCAAAAAGACTCACCGATATAGGCGTTGTTGAAGTAGGCGGCACTGTAATCGCAGTCATACCAAGTTTGAGATGCGCGGTCCAGGGCAGCTGCAACCCGGATAAAACGTTAAACCGATGCTCAGAACATTTTCATATACACTCAATCCACCATCGCAAGAACTTACAAACAAGATTAGGGTAACGGTGGTAGTGCTCTGGATAGACTAATTTTTTAACTGGTAAACCTTTGTGATGGCAATTTAAAAATGTAAAATCGTGCCCTGATGTCGGTCGAACGAAAGGCCGTTAGTCAAGTGTCAAATCACTAGGTGCTTCCATGGAAGTGGAAAAAACAGCTCACAACTCTCCCCGTTTACACTGCTTATGCAAGAATCTTCGTCACAATAGTGCTTACTGTGCTCGCCGGACCAGCACCCTGTGGTTATGTATTTGATTTTTTTTTATGAATATTGGTAATTAGAGTTTCAAGCAGCATTGTGATATGTGAACTATTGATACGTACACACTTTGTTTGGCCAAGTGTGGTCACGGTCGAAATGTGAGGTGCATGATTGTTGATTAACTGGAACGAGACTACTGTCTGCAATGACCTGATCCGAGTGGAGGGAAATGATGAGAGTTAAGACGGCCAAGCTGATGTATGTCCTCTGGAGCCAATTCATGAAGGACATGATAATAAGCAAATCAGATAGGATGAATCAATCAAATCTAGCACTCCTCTGTCTATGATTGTTGGGGAGAATTTAAATAAAATAAGCTATGAGTCGTTTGCGTTAGGATCAGGCGTTCAGCTGGATCCAAGAGTGATTTATATATCCTTGTCTTCCCAAGGATCGCGCTCGCCACTTCCCAACTCCAGCTTAATCTAATTATTTATTGGGCTGCCACAATCCGACCGAGCCGCCGCCAATGAAGCCACATCCACAGCCTGTGTATGTACCATGATCAAACCGCGTGACCCAATCGATTCGTATGTATCGTGTATGCCTAACTTATGAAGTCATGAATTTCGGAGGGGCTTCAACAAGTTAGCATGCATGCTCATGTTGGAGGAACCGCAGCACAACACATACCTAACCAAATCAAAAACAAACCTCCTGGATGATGGAATGTGAGACTTGGGAAGAACCAAAAAGAATACATTGTGTTTCCAAGAAAGCTTGGATTGATTCGCTTTTTGAATTTTTTGTAACCCTTTGAATTTGATATTGCCAATCCCATATTTTCATTTTATCAGTCGGGTTGAATCTTGACAGATGTCAGATAAGACCCAGGGATAAAACCACCTCCGGAGCCATGTTGCTCCAGTAGATGCTCTTGGAGGAGAATTAAGAAAAAACGAGGTTCATATTCGGAACCGGAGCAGTTTGTAGGTCCTCCAAGCTGCTCACCTGGACCGCCGGTCACTCCCTTCTGCCCCATTGGTGATGCCAACCAAGCACTGGACCGTCGCATGAGCTGAGAAAGAAGTTGAAAGCCCTGGGACACCTGAGGCAGAAACATATTTGAAATTAATCAAGCAGAAAGGTAAATCCATAAGTTGCAAGGATTACAAAAAATCCAAAATGCAAAATGATCCAAGCTTTGTTGCAAACACAATACATATTGTAACTTAATAACAACAAAAGAGCATCTCCAACGGACCCGCAATTGGGCCACTGGGGGCAAACTTTGACCACCCGGGTTCAATTTTCAATAGCCAACGGACCTGCGGATCAACCCTGAAAACATTGCGGGGGGAAATCAACCCCGTGATGACCTGCTAACTTCTGCGGTCACCTCCTTAGGGTTGATGGCACCACCTTTTCAAGAGGTGTGCGCCTAGGGGGCCTGTCAAACTGCCAGAGCATGGCACCTTTGGCTGGCAGTGCCCCGGCAAAAAAAGCTCAAAAATCAAGGTTCAAAGTGGTTACTCTGCTACAATGCATAGTGCTTGTGTCAGAGGCCATAACTGCATAATCCCAAGTAGTGAGAGACTGAGATGGGAAATTTTAAATCCATAAAAAATTGAATCCGGTGTGATCCGGTTGGATCCGGTCCAAGATATCTCAGGGACCCTTCAAAAGTAGGATTAAACAGTCAGGTGCGTGCTGACCCCCCATTTTCAGGATCTTTGGGGACCCGGGTGCATGCATGGGGGGCGGGCACACTTTGGCGCGCCCCACCCTATGGCGCCGTCAACCCTACACCTCCCAGTTGCAATTTGATCCCTCCTCTCCAATTACACCTCCATCACATCATCAATACACCTCTGAAACAACACAAAAATGGCAAGTTCTCTGAAAAAGAAAAAAGGAAGAAAGGCTCAAAAAGATACCTCCATGGCTACTCCAAAGACAGCTAAAACTTTGACCGCCAAAACTCCAACTGCTCCAAAACCAAAAGAATCTTTGACTACTCCAAAACCGTCTGAAACTTCAAACATCAACAACAACAGTTGCTGGTGTCCCTGTAGTTGGTTTTGGTGAATTTCCCTTTGGCCAGGTGTAGATCCACCATGTTTTTTTTTCTCTTTTGTCTTCAAGATTAAGCCGATTGTTAATTGAATGGAAGCAAGGAGATTGTCATTGTTGACCATCCATTGGAGGATGTTGTCCATGGTGCCAAAATTGATTGACTAGTGGTGGGGGAGGATTGGTTGACTAAAGTTGGGGCAGAGGTTTTCATGGGATACATAGCAGTGGTGGGCCGCAACGCTTTTGGCCCAAAAAGCATAGTGCTATTAGCGTAGCAGCGCTTTTTCATCAAAAAAATGTAGTGTTAGCACTTTTGTAGCAGATTTTTGCTACGCTGCGCTACAGCGCTTTTAGCGGTAAAAACAGCCAAAAACCGCTCAAAAGCGCTGTAGCGCAGCGTAGTGGGCCCTTTTTTGTGGCCCACATGCGTAGCGTTAGCAGTGTCGTGGCAGAATTCCGCTACACTACGCTTAGCGCTAACAAGAATTCCGCTGTATTATGCTACACTAACCGCTACAGTTAGTGCAGTGGCCCACCGTTGCTTACGGCTTCTTCCTGCAGCTCTAAAGCTGGGGCAACCAATCTCCAGTCTACTCAGAGTTGGGATTGAGAACACTTCAAGTTAACCGGTCAAGGTAACTGTTGTAAAGGGAACTTGTGATGGAGCCGTGATAAAGGTGTATGGTAGGCGCGAAGAGGTTGTGAGATTAAGAGAGGGCACAACCGCTGCAATCTATTAGGATCTGGGTTGATGAGGTTGTGAAGGTTACTAAAGCCTTCTAGCTAGGTAGTGAAAGCTATCACACTGAGAGTGTGCTGGCTAACAAGTGCTAATGTGGCTGGCACGTAGTATTTTGGATACTTGTCACTTTGATAGTAGTTAGTTTGAATGGTATGATTGCTCTGAAGAAAAAAGGAAAGGGAAGAAGAGGCCAGCAACTTCCTTAAATACTATTGGAGGTCACTGGTCAATTTGTGGGTGTCTTGTTCCTTGGGCTCAAGGAACAGATTAGAATTAGTAGATATTCTGTTCAATGCTTGGGGTTGAGAACATGTTGCAAGGTGTTAGTTCTTGCTGCGCCGCAGCCATATTCAATAACTTTTATTCATTCATTCTTTTGCGCACCTGCACGTTATTTCACATGTGTATTTTATTTCTTTTTATTTCCTTTTAATTATTTTAATATTATCTTTTTCTTTCTAATACTATGAGGGGGTTAGAACCTCTTAACCCCTGACAGTGTCTGGACCATGTTAAGGCAGCAATTATAAATGCTTTTTGATTTGTTTAACATTCTTTTGAAAATGTTTTGAAATTCCTTTTTATAATTTTTTTTTTTCTTTCAAAAAAAAAATACCTGAAAATTTTCTCAAACAACCTCTTGTTTGAAATCATATGTGAGGAAGACCTCACTGGTTTTTTGTAATACAGCCCTTGTTTCCTGTACAGAGCTGCACAACCAAACGAGATGCAGGGGTTAGGTTGACAGTATGAGTTGGTGTGGGTTTTCCTATGGGGCGCTGATAGGGACATCTTTCAGCAGGACCCTGGCAAGGGCTCCAAAATGTGGGTAATGTAGACCCAGATGAACAAAACTCCAATTTGACTTTCAACCATACATTTAATTGGGATCATTCCAACATGGGGACATGTACAAGGAAAAGGTGGATCTTGTACATGTATTCATTAGTCATGAAGTTTCACCAGTGACCCTTGAGAAGCCAAAAACTAAAAAAAATGTATGAATCCGAATTTCATGCAATTTTTTTTTCTAGTTTTTGGCTTCTCAAGGGTCACTGGTGCAGGTTCACAACTAATGAAGACATCTACAAGATCCACCTTTTCCTTGTACATGTCCTGATGTGAAAACCATCCCAATTTGATGTATGGTTGAAGGTCAAGTTGCCTTTTTGTTCATCTGGGTCTACATTACCCACATATTTGGGGGGTTTCCCGGGTCCTCTTTTGGCCAGCTCATTCAACCAAAATCATGTTCTAACTTGTGTGAATCCAGGAATATTCAGATGTGAGTCCCGAGCTCACTACAAAAGTCTACTTAACCCAAGTCCCTCAATCAGAGGGCCTGGTACAGCCAGGCTGGCGCAAAGCGAGCCTCCTCAGCCTGTCGAGGGGATTTGTTAAGCTAGTACAAAAGTCCGAAAGCAGCAAGGGTGTTTTGTTGCGGGTTTGTAATTCCACCCATTTTGAAACATTTTTTCACATTTTTTCAAATTCACATCAAATGAAAAAAACAACTTTAACAAAATTTTCAAAACATTTTCAAAAGAATCTTCAAAGAAAAGCATTCATAATTGCTGCCTTAAGTCTGCCGGAGCTTTGATGTGCTCAAAATTTGACAGGATATTTTTCTTCTCACGACTCGTTCAAAGAACATTGAAGCCTCAAGCTTGGGCTAACCAATGGTTGAATTTGTATCTAACTTGAATTTAACTGAAGATGTGCTTATTTACAACCATTTTATATATGTTTAAGACACCAAATGTACATTGTTTGTAGGTTAAAGAAATATTCAATTCACTGGGAACGCTTCCGGCCTCTTCAGATGTCAAATTTGCAAGATTCAATGGAACACCAGCATCTGCTGTAGGTCCTCCGGCGCCTTGGCTATTCTTAGCTAGATGAAGAACGGCCAATCGAAAGACTTTCCCACAGGCAGCCTGTGGCACTGGAACTGAATTCTTGAGGAAATCATCAATAGCGCTGGTGAAAGTAGAAAGATGAAGGAGAATAGAAGTATCCATGTCGATCCAATTGAATACTTGGGATTTACAGGAATCCAGATGAAATGATAAACCCCAAAACAAAACTCCCAACATAAATAAATGAATTTTCGGACCTAATCTTAGAAGCAGAGTTAGGAGCGAGTTCGGTGTGATCCTGTGTCAAAGAAGAAGGATGAGCGAATGGCATGTTCAGTTCTAGTTGAAATAGCAAGATAAAGTGAGATGATCGCGGCGGATATTCTTTAGAAATGCAACAGAGGAAGGGGTTTTTTTTCTTACAGGAAGAATGATTTTCACATTTGAGGCTTTATTTGCGGGTGCCGGGATAGGTGGCGCAGGTTTGGGGGGTGGTGGTGCCAAAAGGTTAGAAGACGAGAAGTTAGTTGCTTCAATCACGGGCGTCAAGGGTGTCTGGTTGACGGCTGGAGTTTCGGGAGGTGGGGATTGAGACGATGGAGGAATGGAGGAACGATTTTGAGTGGAGATAGCACTGGCGTTTTGTGAAAGTTTTGGTCCAGGCAAAGCTCCGGTGGTGTTATTTGGTGGATACGGTGATCCCGACGAAGCTTTAGCACTGTCATTTTGTGGGAGATTTGAACCAGGTGGAGGGGCATCTATAACATAGCCATTTGGTGGAAGATTTGGGCTAGACGAAACTTTAGCCTCACTCCCATTTTGTGAAAGTGGTGAGCCAGGCGAAATAGCAGCAGTGACATTTGATGGAGGTTGTGGTCCAGAGGAAACTTGTGATGACAGGTTTCTATCAGAATTTCCTGTTTTCTCGACATGAGGTATGATGACCACCGTGCCAGGCGGTAGGCTTTTTAGCTTCTGTGATTTTGGTAATATCATCACTCCGAATGGTTTGCTGTTAACCTCCAACTCCTTTTCGCCGTTGGATTTTGCGAGATGGGCTATCAATCCAAAAAAATGAGAAATTCTTCAGGCTCAGCGGTGCAGCTCCGTTGATCATTTCAATGGATAATTGAAATTTAGCTCACCAACTGGCTGATTAGGTGGTTGAGGTTCCTGTTTTGAGATATCTAAGTTCAACCATTATTTTTCGTCAGATTATTACAGCCAGCTTTACCAAAGAGATCGGCATATTAAACTGGGAATAACAGTATCTGAACACTTACGAGGTTCATTGGAATCCAGGGGAATGACCACCAGTGGCTGGGCGGGTGGCCCGAGCGAAGAATTCTGTTTTACTTGAGTTTCTATTATTCGAAATCAGATTTGTCATTCCTTCGGTGCTCTATCACTAACTTGAGTGGAAACCAGCCCACCAGTGATATTCTGCTCACCTGTGGAATTTTTCTCACTAGTCATGTTCGGTGCCGGTGGCGCGGCAAGTCCTGTCTGAGCTTGCGGGTTCTCTGAGGCAGGACTAATATCTGAGCACTGTTGAAGTGAGCCAATTATGGAATGTTTTTAGTGACTTCTCCGACAGGGATGACGGGGAGGCATGGCTTTACTCACATCCAGAGTTTCGATAGTATCATTGGTGCTCAAACTCGTTGTATTATCTGGCTGCAAGATCCCAGAAGTGGCAGTTACGTTTGTGTTCACGCTTGTTCTATTGTCTGGGTATATGGTCGGAGGAGTGGCAGATATCTGTGGAACAGTGTCTAAAAAACACAACCCAAAGTCAGCTTTAATCTTATGATGAACAATTAACAGATTACTCACCATTGCCTTTCCCCGAGACTGGGTTAGCCTGTTCCTGCTTAGGTGTTATTAATCCCGGGTTCCCAGTCGTTTGATTTGTGGGGTGAGATCCCTGGCCACTTCCGGCTAAACTTCCGGTTTGATCGGTTGGTGGCAAATGCAAGAGTCTACCGCTGGTCGATTGCCCGGCGACTGCATCAGTGGCATTTATCACCCCTTGAGTCTGACCGCCAGTGTTATTTTGCGCAACATCTACGGTTAAGTTGCCTTGGATACTTTGCTTGACGACTTTCATGACCTTTTCAGCAAGCTCAGAAGCGTTCGCTGCGTTTGGTATAGTACCGTCGATGTGCACTTCCACCTTGTCTGGGTGACACCTCTCTGTCGTACCAACGGAATTGGTCTGCAGCACATTCACATCATGTCAATGAAGAGTAAAAATGAATCATGTTAGACGGCCAAGAGAATACTGACACAATTATTATCAGTCTGTGGATCAAGCCGACTTTGGACAGACCACGACTCTTCTCCATTGCTATCGACCACAGTTTTTGAAGTTATGACTTTCGAATCCCTCCGGCGTTTGATGAATTCTAGCTCTTTTTCTGAACGACGGCTTTCATCAAGAGGGTTCTTAACAATGTCGGCCCTACGGTTGTGTAAAGTGCCAGAGTTCTGTCGGCCCAGATCGGATGAAGCTGGTCTCCGCTCTTCATGGGTAGAGATGCCCTCGTCGAGTACGAATCCTTGGGGATAACTAAGAGCAGTACCCCATTGCAAAACGAGGAATGCCATACAATGGCTGTGGCACTTCATGTCCACTTGAAGAATCGAAGGATCAAGGGAAAAAAAGCTCGTCTTGATCACTTGAGCGAGATAATGAAAAAGCGCAAAAGTAGGGTGAAGAAGGGTGCTAATCAAATCGATTGCAACTCTTTGGACATCGGGGCAGGAAGGGTATGTATGGCTCATAATCTAGGAGCTTATTGAGCCTACCCACGGCTCACGTTCATGCAGATGATTGGATTGTGGGCGACAGACTCATCAGTGTCGGCTTCTAGAGCAACGCCCGGTACCGATCCTTAACCAAGGATTACAATAATGAGTTGGTTCGCTTGGTTGAACTTCCCCAGACGTTCTTTTCCCATCGTTACGGCCTTAGACAGTTGATCATCTAAAATACGACCAAGATCAAAGTTTGCCTCTCAGAGGGTCCTTCACTAGATTTCGCGTAATTCTTCGATAGGATTAAAACTCATGAAGAGTCTCGTATGGTATCTAAGGAGAATGATGAACGTTTCAAACTTTTGGAAAGTTTCGTATCCTTCAGTGTGTAGTCTTCTCCACATCATCGACCAGTTCAGTGCTGGAGTCAATGCATGGTGTTAAATAAGCTGAGATGAAGAGTTAACGAAGTTGGCCGCCATCATGAGCTCAATAAGATTCTCAATGATGAGCTGATATTGCCTCATTCAAAGACGAGTGCCTCTACATCAAGTCGAGAGGTGTCTATTTTGCTCCCCCAGGCTCATTAAGAACACTTCACTAGGTCTATTAGACCCCTTTGACGCCATTTCCGGACGTCCGTTGTTCGCAGTTGGTAATTAACCAGCTTGGCTTGAGTTGACATGGTCCGATGGCATGAACCAATGAAGGGCTCATGACTCATTGTCAAGTCATGTCATTCCTGTAAATTATATACGGTAAAAAAACAAACACTATCGGCAACTTTCATGGTCAAACACGGTTTGGAGAAACAGGTCCCTTTTACTTGCTGTGCTACGACTAAATTCTACGGATGTTTTAATATATAACGCAATCCTTGAGGAATTTGAAGTGATGATGGTGTGTAGTGAGTTGGGGGCTCTTTTTTATGTAACTGATTTGATTTATCAGGGATCTTGGTTGGAGTAGAAGACCTTGTTGTATTGATAGGGTTATGTTTTTAACGAGTTGCGCGTGCACCGACAGTACCTGTCTTTGCATCGAACACACTCAACAAGGCAAATGTGGCATAAAATAAGCTGACTGGATAGGCGACCAAGAGCCGCTGTTCCGACATCCTTAGCACCGATACAAACATCCCCGATGCCGAGTATGAGCACCAAAGAATCGAAAGAATCGAGAGTATGTAGCCCAAGTAACCACTGTCAAAAGTCAAATTATTCACTCATCGTCAGATATGCGGAAAGTAAAAAAAGGAGATCAGATGATTCATGGGGACTTGACTGACTCCATGCTCACGACTACAGTGACCAGGCTGAGTAATACTAATGGAAGTAGGCAGTAACCCAAGACGCTAGCTACTCTGTAAGCATCAATGCCTGTCTCGGACATTAGATTTAGCAACAGATAGAACGATAGGTCGCCTAAAAGAGCTAGACCATAGATATAACCGAATTGTGGTTTCCCTGACTAGGATCCAAGGATATGAAAATTAGATTTGGTTCAATTCATAGAAGCAAGGGCAATGATTGGTGATTTAACTACTCACAAACAGAAGGAACATCCCAAAGCAGAAGCAAAATACCAGTGGACCAGCTAGATCGGCGTCATCCATCAGGTGTTGATCAATTTGTCGAAACGGATTCAATACTGCAAACGATTTCCTCTTGATGTGATCGAAATTTATACCCAATTCTATTTGTTTTTTTTTGTTGTTAAAATATAGAAATAAAAAATAAAAAGGGGGAAACAAAAAAAGAAGTTGGTTTTGGTTCATTGCATTTAAACTTTTTTTTTATCCAGAAAAGAAAAATCAGTGAAATTTTTTTAAAAAAAGCAAACAAGCAAAGAAATGATATCATTGAATTTTGTGTAATTAATGAGTATTAAAAGAAGAAAGAAGAAAAGACACAAAATAAAATAAAACAAAATTGAAAAAATTACCTTCTAGTAGTGGGGGTTCTCCGTCAATTCCACCGGTACCGAAAGCGCTCCAAAAGCCACCAGAACTAGCAATCGAGCCACCGATCCCATTAGAATAGGGAGAAGCCGGTAACATGCTACCGGTCACACCACTACGTTGACCTTCGAGACTTTGACGATCGTAGTAAGCGTTAGGGTCGGCTGAGCCCGAGTAAAACTGTAAGGGCTCGTGGGTCGTTCCATATCCAGAATCGTAAGGCACTGATGACGAGGCGTAAGTTCCTTGATCGTACATGCTCATCGTGGATGTCAAGAGGAAGGAGATCGAAATTCGAATATGATCTCGTTCGCCTGGGTTCGGGTTGATAGTCTCCAGAGCACGTTCAATCGATCGGTTCAACTTCTTCTTCTCTTTCGGGCTGCTTGAAATTCGGTTGAAAATGTGGACAGTTGTCTGTGGGATGGTCAAGCTGTATGTGGCCGTCTACGTGGTAGGACTACAAGGAACCCTGAGCGCCCACCGAGTGACCGGAGTGATGTCACAGGTGCAAATCGTATCCCCGAAGACCCGCTGCGAACCCCGAAGAAAACGGACCAGCACAAGACAAACAAAACTGATCACTCAACTTAGAGCATCCGTATCGGTGGCTAAATCCGCGCGAGCTAAGGACTTTAGCCGCGAAATTCAACCACACCGGGCTTAGCTAAAGTCAAGTGAAACTAGCTCGCGGCTCCGATTCGAGCTAACCGTTGCTAGATCTAGCAACGGTTAGCTCGCAAGCAAGCTAAAAGCAAAAACCGGTGAGTGTGCTTCATTTTGGTGCCCTCCCGCACACAATCACACACCCCTACTTCAAACCACACCACACCATTTAACCTCATGCCACACCAGTGTGGCTGAATAGGCTTTGCTATAGTAGCTTAGCAATAGCCGCGAGTTAAAACCGCTGGCTTTTAGCTCAACCGGTAAAGATGCTCTTAATTCTGTACTCAAACCCAAGGTCACATCTGGCACAAAAATACTCATGAAAATGGTTCAGGATTAGTTTCTGAAGTAGAAACAAGGCTGAAGAAAAACATAAGCAATAATTAGAACAGACAAATGTATCAAATCAATCTCTTTTAGTGGGCTTAGAGCAGTTCCACCGCGGCCCCTACTGCCAGGCCGTAAAAACTTGAAGATCGGGTCCACGCAGCCAGTTTTACAGTCTCAAACTGCTGCGGCATACACCGCAACTTGGTGGAGCGGTTTGTAAAAGTTGATGACAGGTGTACTGTTGAGGGTGGTGTTGTGTGTGAGAGTGTAGTTTCACACATTGTTGTTGTGTGAAAGTGTTGTTTGGAGGCCGTAGGTGAGTCCCTAGGAGTCCCTACATGTGAGGACTCGCGAGGAGAATTTACGGACTGCTGTAGATTTTAGCGACCGTGGTGGGTTGTGTTGAGTCCGTAAATTCCACCTACAGACCCGATTTACGACCCGCGGTGGAGTTGCTCTTATACTTTTCCCCTGCTGGAAAAAAAAACTGCTTGCATCATCATGGGAAAGAAAAGTTTTTGGATCCTCCATTCTTCAAAGCTGCATGTACACCCTGATTGTGAATTTATTTCAAGGAAGAACTCTCACCTGAGCTTACCCACACAATCCCCAATTGATTGAAATATATTCCAAAATTGAAATGGTTCAGTCACAGTGTCATAACAGATTGCAGCTCAAATACTGAAGGAAGTTGAGGTGCAAGTTATTTGCACCAGAAATGCTGAGGTTCTTCAGAATTCCTCTCAGAAGCTTCCTTTTTGATAATTAAATTGATCTTATTACTTGCCCAATTTTTTTTGACCAAGATTCAGTGAAAAAAAATTCAATCCCATCAAGTGTGAAAATTCCCCTTGATGAGCCTCACCAGATTATTCAGCTCTGGAATTTACAATTATACACAGTGACAATATATACAGAACTTCTTGTAAATGCCTGAAATTTACAGTGTATGTATGATATCACAGGTATGACTGCCAGTCCAAGCCTCTGTAAGCAACACTCTAGTTGTGTGAATTCAGATTGATGTCATTTTTTTACAGTTCATGGATCATTCATCCTACATAGTCATGATTTGTAACATGACTGTGCAACATGTAGCATCATTACATCTGTTGAAACATTGGAAGATTGGCAATATAACAATGTGACATGTTTGAACAATACAGAATGTCATCACACTCCCTTCAAAATGGAAACATGTCTTTCTATTTCAAACTGCACAAGGGTTCACCTTAAATCAATCAAAGATTTCACATCTGCACAAGAAATTGTCCTATTTTTTTTGTTTTTTAAACTATCCAAAGAAGAAAGAAAACATGAATTTGAACAGCTTTCTTGGTAGCATTTTATTGCTCTGTGTTTTGTGCAAGGCAGCCATTGATGAATATGATTTTGGTCAGATTTTGGATGCACCTCACAAGTTGGATGGAACTCTCTATCCTACCAATCTGCAACAAGAAAGAAAGCCTCATTTCAACATTCCAGTGAAAGATTCAACTGCTTCATTTACACCTACCATCTCCCCCAGTCCAGGGTTTGAAAAACTGCAAGAACCACATGACACAACTTTGATCCTTGCACCAGCAAATCACAACCCTGGCCCTCATTCATCTACCATCCCCAATTATTCTTGGGAAAATCATTTCAATGAATGTTACCAAAGTAATACAGCACATTACTTGAAACATTCTGGGAGTTCAGGGGGAACCTTAAAAGAAACCCAATGTGAAAACAAGAAGGTCCCCAGTTTTCTGTCATTATTCAAGACATCCAACTGTGAAGATCACATGGAAACCCATTTTCTGGAACATCCAGAAGCACATGCATACAACAAGATAAAAACCAAGAAGGAAAATTTCATTAAATTCCTTGAAATACCAAATCAAAATTCTGCAATGAGATCATCATTTAAAACAATAGACTTTCTGAGCAATTTTAACAAAAAAGAGTTGGCAACTCCTGATTTTGTAACCAATAACCCGTCTTATAAGGATTCAGAATTAAGACTTCAGGCACAGTTTCATAATCTGCCTGTGAAGAAAAGAAAAAAGATCTCACATCCAGCCAAATCCAAAAATCAATTTGGAAAAAACACATCCTTTCAATCTCTTCCAAGTCCAAGCTCAGTGGAACCAGTGCCAAATGATATGCCAAAAAGTACTAATGGATCATCTCAGAAAGAAGAGATAAAAAGCTTGAAAGAAGGACAAATGAACAAAATCAACAAAGAATTCTCTGAAAGCCCTTTCACAAATGATGATGATACCCAGTTGGGATCAGTACCTAGTTTTCATGAACTATCACTCAAAAGCCTCAAATTTGATGCAAGTGTCTTTGGAATAGAAAGCCCATCATTTCATGACTTACAGAAAATGGAGAAAATAGACTTGATCATCAAAGATGATGACCCAGCAAAACCACTATTTGTTGATGAAACTGATCTGAAAACAGCCTTTGCAAAGTTCAAATTTCCAAGTGTTTATACTACATCTGTACATGACAATAATATAAAAGAAACAGAAGAAAAAGCAGAGCATGAAATGGTTCCAAAGTTGACTAACGGTCAAAGAAGACACAGAGAAAGATACGATCTGAGACAGAAATCAATCAAAAAGTTTCTTACAATCAAGAGATCCTGGTCAAAGTTTTATGAAATCAAATCCGGGGTCCAAATCAAAGATCTCAACTTTCCAGGCAAAAAAAGACCCAGACAGCCCCAAACAATATATGAAGATCATTATCTTTTGTTTTTGTTGTATGTAGATATGTTCAGCTCAATAATCCTAAGATCAGACCAACATGGGATTGAGATTAACAATCCAGAAATTGTCAAAGATGCCGCAGAATATTACAAGCATAATATTCCAAATTTTGGAAGGGCTTTTGGCTACTCAAACTTACTGGAACAAGTGTGGAAAACAGTCAAGAATTGGCTTCAATTTCAACACAAGAATAACATGCTACTTGACACTCAATCAGAAAATTCTCTGGTTGAAAAGAAACAAAATCTGCTCAAAATTCTGTTTGGAAATCCACAACCAAACAATTATGCATTCACTTTTTTTAGTGATCTTTTTTGTTATTCAGTTAATTCTCTAAGTAAAACAATCCAAGAGGCCTACATTAGAGATTTTGGGAATTCTCTCATATAAGTTGTTGATAATTTACTTGAAATCACACTTTTTTCCCTTGACATCTGGTTCATTTCACAATACACATCCTCTTCCAAAATTCTCTAAGTAAAACAATCCAAGAGGCCTACATCAGAGATTTTGGGAATTCTCTCATATAGATAATTTGCTTGAAATCATACTTTTTTCCCTTGAAATCTGGTTCATTTCACGATACATGTCATCTTTCAAATACTAATACACACCATTTCCTCACCTATTCATTGATCTTTTTTTTCATATCCTTTAGGAATTCAATTTACTGCTCAATTTTACCTCAGTACATGGAGACCAATCAATGCAGCCCTTAATAATTATTTTTAATGGGTTAGATTGGATCTAACACCCCAGTTTATCTGGGACAGGATATGATAAGGCAGACAAAATGTTTGATAAAAGATTACTTACAATCATGAGATAAAAGAGCTGCATGTTGAGTTTATTTTGAGGAAAATGGTGCAAGGTACAATCTTTGTCCCAAACAATCATCCATCACTATGATATACTCACCCTCTTGAAAAGAGACTGAAATCTGCTTTTCTCTGCATACATTTAGCCCAACATGTCACACACTTGGCCAGGCATGGAATCATTGAAATTGTCTCTAAGCTGGCAATGGCACATTGTCCCCAGCCCTCAAAGATGTTGTGGGAAAGGTGATGATAAGCTGGACCATTTCTGCCCCCTGGGTGCTGGCTTGATGATATCTTTAGTGGCATTGTGTCTGTGTATGACTCAGGTCCACATGGATCACTCACTCACTCGTGAACTGGCAATCCCTCTGATTTTATTCTTCAATGAGTCGATCTGATAGATTGTATCCAAATTTGCAGAGGAGCTGAAGTATTTATGTGCAGAGATTCTTGAGACAACATATCTTCCTCAGGCAATAATTTCTCAGTAAATAATCAGACTAATGTCTGTTTTGTCTGAGTACAGTGGGTAGACAGTGAAAAGTGGCAGCTTATTTTGGATTCCAGAGCTCTGAAACACAAACTTGAAGTCATGAGACTTGGTCAGGTGGTGCATAATAGCTCCCAAAAAATGAATATGAAATAATAAAAGCAAAAAATAAAGTTTGAAAATTTGTGAAAAATAAAAAATAAACTCAATTTTTTTCAAAAGCTTTGATATTTCAATTTTGGGGGAGTGGGAGTGCTGAGAGAAAGAAAGAATGGAACGTGGGAAGAATGATTATAAATGAAAAAAATTGGAACCAAAAAAGGTTTAGCCAGGTTGGTGGTCCAGATTGGAGCCAAAACAGTAAATTCTAGTGCTTTGCTGCAATGTGGGCTGGTGAATGCCCCACTCAACAGCTGTTTGAAGCCATCTGAGAACCGTTTTTTCCAAAATTTTCATTTATAATCATTCTTCTCATTTCCCAATCTTTCTTTCTCTCAGCACTCCCACTCCCCCAAAATGAATATCAAAGCTTTTGAAAAAGGGCCTTAATAAAAAAACCCGCATTTTCCGCGTTTTGACGCGCTTTTGCTGCGGCACAGCACACGCGCATTCCGCTTTTAAACCCGCATTTTTAATTAATTTTTTTTTGCCATTAATTTCGAGTTTTTTTGATTTTTTAAAAATTTTTCCTACACTTTGAAGGGTGTAGAATTTAATGGTAAAGTCCATTTACCATAAAAATGACTTTGATTTTTTTTTTTTTCTGCTTACTCATTTTTTCAATTAATTGTTTGCATGCATGTATGTACCTTATTTTTTATGCTTTTTTGAAATTTTAAAATTATTTCCTAGGTTTCAATGTGTGTAGAATTTAATGGTGCAATCCAATTTTTTCAAAAATCAACGGTTCATTTTTAATACTGAAATTAGACCCATTTTTTCACTTAATTTTTTACAGCTTAATTCTCATCATTTTTTGACATTTTAAATTTATTTCCCACACTTTAAGACATGTAGAAAATGATGGTAACAACCATTTTTCCCCAAAATGAAAAATACATCTTGAATACTGCATTTGACACCGTTTTTTTAATTGAATTCTTCACTTTTTCACTCAATTGTTTGCATACACGTGTGTACCTTATTTTTTATGCTTTTTTGAAATTTTAAAGTTTTTTCATACATTTAGAAGTGTGTAGAATTTAATGGTAAAATTCAATTCCCATAAAACTCAACGGTTCATTCTGGATACTGTAATTAGTCATATTTTTCAATTGATTTTTAAGAGCTTAATTTTCATTATTTTTTGACATTTTAAATTTGTTTCCCACACTTTAATACATGATAAAAATGATGATAACAACCATTTTACATAAAAATCAGCGCTTGTTACTGAATACTGCAGTGGACAGGCTTTTTTTAATGTTTTTTTGATTGATTTTTACCGGCCTGATTTTAAGCATTTTTTTTTTATTTTAAATTTATTTCCTACATTTACAAATGTTGAGAATTGAATGGTGAAGTCCAATTTCACTCAAAATACAAGCTTCAATCTTAATAGATGAGTGTACCCTGTTTCTTGCATAATTTGTACCATATACAAATTTTATTTGAATGCAAAATGGATACAGCCATCAATTTTGAAACCTTTAAAAGTGTAGGAAATGAGCTTGAAATTCCAAAAAATAAGGATAATTGAGCGTGTAAGAATTAATTCAGGAAACACGTCAAAGGCATTATTCAAGATATAGTTTTCATTTTGATGAAAATTCATTGTTACCATAATTTTATACATGTTTGAAAGTGTAGGAAACAAATTTAAAATGTCAAAAAATAATGAAAATTAAGCTCTTAAAAATCAATTGAAAAATATGACTAATTACAGTATCCAGAATGAACCGTTGAGTTTTATGGGAATTGAATTTTGCCATTAAATTCTACACACTTCTAAATGTATGAAAAAACTTTAAAATTTCAAAAAAGCATAAAAAATAAGGTACACACGTGTATGCAAACAATTGAGTGAAAAAGTGAAGAATTCAATTAAAAAACGGTGTCAAATGCAGTATTCAAGATGTATTTTTCATTTTGGGGAAAAATGGTTGTTACCATCATTTTCTACATGTCTTAAAGTGTGGGAAATAAATTTAAAATGTCAAAAAATGATGAGAATTAAGCTGTAAAAAATTAAGTGAAAAAATGGGTCTAATTTCAGTATTAAAAATGAACCGTTGATTTTTAAAAAAATTGGATTGCACCATTAAATTCTACACACATTAAAACCTAGGAAATAATTTTAAAATTTCAAAAAAGCATAAAAAATAAGGTACATACATGCATGCAAACAATTAATTGAAAAAATGAGTAAGCAGAAAAAAAAAAAATCAAAGTCATTTTTATGGTAAATGGACTTTACCATTAAATTCTACACCCTTCAAAGTGTAGGAAAATTTTTTAAAAAATCAAAAAAACTCGAAATTAATGGCAAAAAAAAATTAATTAAAAATGCGGGTTTAAAAGCGGAATGCGCGTGTGCTGTGCCGCAGCAAAAGCGCGTCAAAACGCGGAAAATGCGGGTTTTTTTATTAAGGCCCTTGAAAAAAATCAATTTTATTTTTTATTTTTCACAAATTTTGGAACTTAATTTTTTGCTTTTATTATTTCATATTCATTCTTTGGGACCTATTATGCACCACCTGACCAAGTCTCATGATTTCAAATTTGTGTTTTGGAGCTCTGGAATCCAAAATAAGCAGCCACTTTTCACTGTCTAGGCACTGTACATGCGGGGACTTGGGGTGTATCCACTATGCTAATCCTCTCTTCCTGCTACTTCTTGTTTCTCTCTCAATTTGCTGTCATTGTTACCATATCCTTCCCTCTTCACCTCCCACCGCTTAGCCTTTACCCATCAAGAGTTCCTTGATCATCACCAGAGCGTATTCATTCAGTGATAACTACATTCACAAGAGGCTAATGGTTAGTCAGCCCTGACATTTTCAATGGATCTTGCATCACATCAGTCTTCCACAAAGCACTACTTTTTCTGAGCACCCACATATGTACATTCCAATCTCTGTGACCTCCTGTGGATAGACTGCTCTCCACTATCATGCGCCCACAGGCTCCAAAACATAAAAAAAAATGGTTTTCCATACCAAGATATAGAAATATACAAGCGCTATACAGAAAGAGCCCATGTGTGATTGAGCTACATCTTTCGCTATATGTATGAGAGCTGAAAAAAAGGGCACAAAATCATCACATCCGCAGGAGATCAATAGTACCATCTATGTACTAACGTTTTTATTGGGGGGAGGGGGGGTTGGTTGGATGACTTCTCAAGTGGCATACATGTTTGGATTCTCAACACACGGGCTCATCAATCGTCCAACAAACAACGGGTATGTGTAAACAAATCGTGCGCGGGGTTGAGAGAAGGTGAAACTGAAAGATAGAAAAAAAGGGGGAAAAAATAGATATATGGAGAAAAAGATGAGACAAGGATAAGACTATAGTGATATTTTTCTCCTGTGATTGGCTTTTTTTATTCTCTTCTTCTCTCTGGCTCTCTTTTTTCCTGTAGGGAAGCCGAGGTGAACATGTGTAAGCGGCATGTGGGGATTCCGCTGAGAACGATCGAGAGAAAAGAGTAATTCGGGAATGAAAGTGGGGATAGATGGCAAGGTAGAGGAGATACCAGGAGCGCAGATACTCTCCTAAGATCAAGGTTATATCCGATAAGTCGACATCATGGTCAACCCGCGCACAACAAAGATGGCCCTATTGAGCCGCTAATGAGGGCTCGATTGCCGGTCGGTCGGTTTGAACTTCGGTCGGAAGGCCGGCCATTTTCATCTTGACTGCCATTTCTAGCAAGTAATCCAAGCATTCGGCTTGGCACTTGGCTTGCTCCCAGTCTATAATCATCATCATTTTTTTCCCGTGAATGTCCATCAGTCATCATGAGGTGAAATCAAACCTTAGTGTTAAAAGCAGGCGAGAGTCACGAACCTTTTCCCCACGAATAGGTACCATGTCGACGAACCAAAACTGCCGGACTACATGAATCGTTCAAAAAGCCAAGTTTTGATGATTAATAGGCCAGAGTCAGAGTGAGTGAGACATGGAATAGATGACTAAGGGAATCTTGGTGGTAGAACGCTTCTACCCTTGCTACTCTGATGAAGCCTGGCTCTAGACCCGAGAGAGCAAAACAAAAGTATGATCAAGACTTACGCGTCAGGGTATCGCAACATTGCCTATTGAATCGGACAACGAGTTTGAAATGAAGAGGAAGAATTTAGTCTGGAGAACGATGGTTGCATTGAAACTCTGATCATAACCTACCTTTTCCATATCCTCACGCAAGTCCTCTTCATGAGGCGTGTTCTCGATGATGGGAACGATCAGAGTGTCCAAGTAACTCATCGCTTTCTCAGTGCTTTTGATCGTTTTGTTGGGAAGAGACGGTGAGTTAGATATACATGCGCGAAACGCTGTGAGATATCAAGCTGACCCTTTGACTCTCATGCCTTTGATCATCTCCAAGTGACTACAACGGAATTCTTGACCTGGCCAAAGCAAGGTCGCCATGACCGCATGCTGACTGTGTGTATGGATGCATGCGCCAGCGCTACGATGTTCGTACCTACACAAGTTTTCAAACGGTTTGATATAGGCCGGAGAGCCCCTAGTGAAGTCAGAACATGATGCAATTCAATCGATCGCTAGTGGAAGAGAGGGAGGCTAACGCATTGAAGAAGAGCGGGGTACACGCCGATTGCTTCAGAGGGGTCGAAGGTCTTCGGAGTTGCTCGCGGGTGAACAGGTCGAGGATAAAGATATCACAAGGCTTCATACGCTCCTTCTGCACACCAGATGGCGCGATGAAGACGTGATCCCTTCGCGAATCGATTGTCAAACACGGGGAAACATATCATCAGGTTTTTTTTTTCGCTCCAGCTACGGGTATAAACAAAGAGACAACGGGCCAATAAGAGCCTCACTTTTGTCGGATTGAGATCCCGCCACCGGTCCCAGTCACCCAGCCGAGTTGGTAAAAATTTCGGCAGAGTTCACAGATCAGGTTCGCAGGATGCAAGGGGTCCTGTGATTAAGAAGAAAAAAAAAAGCGAGCACAGATCGAAATGTTAACATTGGATCCTGGCCACCTTGGGTGGATCTAGTGCCCAGGAGGATGAAGTTGATAGAAACAATCGAGCGTGTGGGGAGGCTGGGGTTGGACGGACATTTGAGTTGACCCAGTCAGCCGAAGTGTTATCCAGAGCAACCTCTAAGCTCTTTCCTTGGGAAGCAAGTGATTCACACATCTCTCTGACCTGAGTTGAGTTGAGTTGAATGTCTGGTCAGTCTTTCTCTCTCTCTCTCGGGCTGTGTCTGTCAGTGTCTCGGTCATCTGGAAGTGCTGGCATTCCGTTCGGCCTCGCCCGGGCACTTCGGGGTCGGCTGGCTGCTCGGGGATCCTATCTCGGCCGACCGCCAGAGCCAGGAGGGAACCCCGGCGCGGGAACGGTCCCAATCGCAAGGTCTCGACAGCCGACTACCAGTGGTGGCGGGGGGTGATAGAAAGACTCCCGAAAAAAAAAGACAAGAAGAAAAAAAAAAGCAAATCGAAACGAAACGAAAAAATCTACTGACGTGTGGAATCGATTTCGCATTCTTCGCCAAATACTTATCGATCGAGGCCTCGGTTCTTGCTCGTTTTTGAGGATCACCCAGCTTGTGGAGCGCCATCAGATGTTCATGCATACTCTTCGTGCTCCCCGTCTTGTCCTTCTTCAGCACTCTTCCACACGGATCGCCTCCACGTTTTGCGACTGTACATTTGACTGAAGTCCCGTTGTCGATTTCGATGAAATGGGCCCATACCCAACTACGCTTGTTAGAACCTGAAGGACTGGTATAGGTCGTCGCGGGCGTCACTGCTGATTGAAAACTGGTACTTCCGTCGAGACGCATATCTTTGTTATCCATAACATCAATGTCGCCCATTTGAATTTCAGCTGGTTCTAAAGCCATCGCCACAAAAAGAATATATATATCCGCCGGCAACAGAGCCCCCGCAGTTGATTATAATACCTTCGTCACCGCTTCACGATAACGATCAAGGATGGAGAAGAGGAAGTAGGTGTTTCTTGTTTTGTTTCACTGGAGAGAAGTGGTCGTTTGACTGGGATATCGATTGGGCGAAATCGATTAATGGTGAAGTGGAGTGATGGATAGGCTGGACGTTGGTGGTCTGAACCCCTAACCCGGGCCCCGGATAGCTTCCCGAAGAGGGGTAAGCGTGATTACGTAGGCAAACATAGTAAGCTCGGGTACCAGGGGTCATATGGCCTTATGAGTGCATAATATGCACTTTACACGCATAATCCGCAAATCCGACTCACCGCTCTCCAGGACCAGGGGTAGGAGGTGTGACACCCCCAGCGCGTCTTGAAATTGTGACAGATTGAAATGTCCTTCGTCTAGGAAAGTTGACCCCATTGAGAGGGAAACGACTGGCCGTTTGCTGATGCAACTGCTCTGCAAAGCACTCGGCCTGATCGTGCATGCAACTTAACAAGGACCTGAGTTTAGACAGAACAGTCAAACTTCATAAAACAAAGTCCCACCTGATCCAGGCCTCTTGCTTAGGTATGCAGTGGACAATGGTAAGTGGATGAATAATATGAATCAATAGCTGTCTTGAACAATAGCTGCCTTGGACAATAGCTGCCTAGAACTTTCAACCTGATCAGGAGTGGGAACCCAGTATTCATGAGTGAGTCTTCAATCTTTGGGAGAAGTTAGCATACATACAGCATACCCAACAATGCTTGCAACTTTTTACAAAAAAAATAAAAAGTTCACTTGAGCAAAAAAAATATTTTAATTGAAATGTCAGTTGACTGCCTGTTGGAACTCTCACTGTGTGATAGCAGATAGTTGAGTTGTCCTGATTTTCCCACCTTGCATACTGTCCCATATTATAAGCCAAAAAGTTTTTCTTTGCAAGTCAAACTTTCTATTTTTTTTTGATTGAAAGTTGCAAGCATTGTTGGTTTGGCTGTATACAAATTGCTTTGGAACTTGGAATCTTGTGTATTTTTCCATTGGTCTCAATTCTTGCTTGATATCTTGATCATGTGATTCCATGAAAAATTGATTTCTACATATTTTTACATTGGCAAGAATGCATTGAATTTAATCTAATTCTATCATTGGATGAATTCTTGTACATCTAGGACCTCCAGTTCAAACTGGTAAGTTCTACATTCCAAATTTCATTTCAAGCATGGTGGTGCTCAGATTTCAACAGTTACCACATCTCTTGTTTTATCTGCTGAAACCACTCTTTCATTAACCAAAAGAAATGTACTTTAATCTTTCTAGATTTTCACTTCTCTTCTTCTTCTTCTTATTATTATTCAACCATAAAGGCTCTGCTTCCTTGGCAAGATTGAGCACATTAGGAACCATTCCAGAGGAAAACTCTCTCCAAGGTGAAAAGTTTAAAGACACACTACCTTATGACTAGGACAATACTGTCAGTAGGCTCAGGGATAATTTTGATCCCATCTAAAATTCAGGCCCTCAGGTTTCCATGTAAAATCCAACTTGTGATTTGGATTCTGCTCTATACAAGACACCAGATTTGGTTTTGGATCATTTGGTTACAAAAGGCAATTTGATCAACCAGGTGAATTGAGTGGATAGGGGTGATTTATCAGGAAGGAAGATTTGGCTGAAAGGAAGAATACATAAAAAGGAAACAGATAATTAAAGATTCTAGGGAAAATTAGAGGACTCATTCCAGATTTATTCTAATGGTAAAATGCTGAAATAATTAGAAAATCTAGGTAAACACTTTGTGGATATCCTCAGAAGAAATTATTTACTCAGACATGGAAGTTTCAAAATGAAACAATTTCCCAAGCTTGAGGAGAGTGCTGTAGACTTGATAGAACATGCTTTTGAACTCAGAGCCACTTACTGGCTAACATTTTCCAACAAGCAGAAAAGCAAGATTGATCAAATTTTCAAATTGCTGAAAATCCCTCAAAGCAGAATGAGGTGTATCAGGGGGTATCAAATATAGGAAATCCACCATTCAAAACCAGTCACTTTTCCTAAAAAAATTTTTTTGCATCAATGGGCCCCAAAAGGGGTTAAACGAATAACCAACATGTTTAAAAAAGGGTGGATTTTTTAAAACTAGTCAATTAAATAATGGTGGATTTGGTTATATTTGATACCCCCTATTGATAAGATTTGCACCCAAGGAGTCTCTGAAATTGATAAAAATTCTGCTTATGTTTGAGACATCCCTCAAATAACCAAAATGTTTTACACTCAATTCTGGCCAGCTCATGTCTACATTCTGACAAATTACAGGTAGTTCGAAAACCAAAACATAGAAATGAGGATAATAATGAAAGCAAAAGCCAGTCAGGAGCCTTTGAAAAGAGCAGCAAGGATGATGATACGTTCAACCCTCAAGACAATTCTGGATTTTCTTGACCTAGTTATACATAATCCATACCCCAAATTCTACAAGAAGAATACATCAAAAGGCCTTTGAGCTGAATGCTTGTATTTTTTGAAAGTTATTCCACAAGGTGTGCAGCTCTAATTTTTTGATTTTGACCCAGCTGCTCAAAGTAAAGGTGAGAACCAACAGGATTTTGAAGTGAAATCTTGGTGAAATTGCAGTGGATTTGCCAATGGGAGGTTTTGGGGAGGCAATTGAGCAAGCCCCCGGGGGGGGGGGGGGGCTTGTTCCTTGCTTCCAAGGACAACAGCTATGTGACTGGGAGACTGGCTTCATGGTCAATGACTGGGATTCTGTGAAATATTGGAAGGTTTTCTCTACCAGCTAATAGATGCTATCTTGTGGTCCTTAAAAGCAGATTTGACAATTCACAAGTTTGGAATCTGTATATATCATTCATCCCCATTGGCTGCTAGTGGGGAGCAAAAAGAAAAAAAAATTGACCCCCAGAATCTCAAGTCAGTGATCAAACTAATTCTATTTGGAACTCAAATTATTATTCCAAGACCCAGCTGAGCAAGGCTGACAAATTGGAGCTTCCACAACTGTAGGACTTGCAGTTAATTTTACAGCCCCCCTGTAAGAGCATCCACATTGGTGTGTGTTGAAATTTAAGACTCAGGCGCGTAAGAGGATGAGGGCCAAAAAAAGGAAAGGACTCTTTTTTGGGAAAGGTTCACAGAAAGGAGTGTGAAGAACCAATCATTTTTATTCACAAGTATCTAGTCAGGTTTAAATAGACTAAGTACAAGTGGTGAACAAGTGGTTTTGAGAAATGAATAGAAAAAGCCTATTGAATAAAACACTGAGAGGAAGAAACATGAGTCTTGGAAGAAACAAACTGGACAAGGCTTCTCAGTCTCTTTTAGTCTAGCCAGATGAGTTAATCAAGAAAAACAAGCTATAATCCACAAATACTTAGAGTCGTTAATTCTAATTAATCAGGCTTTAGTAAATCAATCAAGAAGGTCAGGAAAGAGAAGAGATCATCATAGAGACATGAGTTGTTGAGAAGAGCTGATTACTTAGGGTTCAAATTTGACTCAGAAGAAGCTTAATAACAACAAAAAACAAGCTACTTGATGAAAATAATCTAGTCTGAATTTTGATGACTTGAAAAGAAAAAGGAGTGATTTTGGGGAAGAGTAGACCAGAGAAGAGGAAAACTCAACAGTGTGCAAATTAGACAGGATTAGCTCCCTAATCTAATCATCCCAACCATATTGGTGGGGATTAGAGGTTGGATTAAGTTAGCTCCAGGGTCAGTTTTGTAGCTGACAGGGATCAAATTTATAACCCACTCATCCTGGGATTAAGGAGCTTGCTAATCCTCACTAATCCGATCAACCAATGTGGATGCTCTAAGGACATTTTTACAGGATGTAAAATTTTCAAACCTGACACTTACAGCCAACCAATATCCAAAGAGAAAGTGGATCTCAATGATCCATAGGAAAAGTATCACAAATCAGTACACATCAAAACCTGGGCCGGCTGGCAGAGGCCAAAGTTTGACTATGAGTTTTTTGAGAATAAACAACTCAATTATATGCTATATAATTTGGAGCTGGAGTTCCTGGGGCTGCTGGCACCAGACTTGTCCATCCTTTTTTCAAACAGATGGCCATCAGATCTTGAGGATGGAAGGGGTGGAGGATTGGGAAATTTCTTGATATTTCATCTCTTTCCAATCCTATTTTTTTTCTCTTTTTCTTGTCATCAGAATCATCCTGCAATAAAGAAAAAAAAAACACCTATCAAGAACTGGATCCAGTGATCCACTGGTTTTGATTAGCTTGTTGACAATGTTAGGAGCAGCCCAACCCGCAGGTTTTTTGGTGACTGGTTTACCATCAGAGGTGGTCATTTCAAAAAAAAAAAAACCCCCAATCTTCCCGCAGACCCCCCCCTTTCCCTTAGATATAACTTAACTATAAATAAAACAAAAAAATTGAAAAGAATTAACAATGATTGAATTCTAATTATTTGGTGAGTACTGCAAACAGGCAAGTATCTTAATCTATCCGGGTTGCATTGCAGACAAGAGAAACATGAGAACATCAAACTTGAAGAAAAATAGAAATCACCTGAACTAGACATGAAGGCTTTGAAATTGTATCAGAAGCATGCAAACGAGGAGGCTGATAAGATATTGAAAACTTAGAAGGATGGGTATCTGATGAAAAACAGGAATGATGATTGAGACTAAAAAAACCCCAGAACTAGAAGTAAAACAAAAAAAACAAGTTAGAGACAAAATTAAGAAAGAAGAAAAAAGGATACCATGATGAGAAAGTGTTTTTGGGGAAAGTCAAAACAGTGAGACTGAAGTATTAAAGATGATGAAAGAGAGACAGATATCAGAGCCTGTAAGCCATATGAGAAGAGAGATAAATAAAAAATGAAACTGGTTAAGACTAGAATGGATGAGGCAAGAGAATATTGAGCGTGTCAGACCAAATCCGCAGTTGACGCCCAGTGAGGGAGAATTATTGTTGCGGTGAACAACGGCTGTGGGACTGAAGGTTCACACATCTTGTGACAATGAGCAATCACAAAATAAAACGTAGTTTAGATTCAGTGAGGAATGGAATCACGGTGTGAAGCCTGATGTACTAAATACAACTAGATAGAAGCATACACACAATACAAGCATTCCAACACCCCCCCTTGCTGAAAACTAGTGGTTGAAAGAGAGATAAAAAAATCCAATCTACTTTAAGTGGCTTGTAGAGGGGAAAAAAAATCTCATACGGGGGACAGAAACTATAGATTAATCAGGCCCGAGATCCACTGTGTAAAAGGAGGGAAATATCACAACAATATTTTTACTCAAAAACAGTCAGACAGGAGGAATAGCCTTCAACTTGCACCAAAGTTGTGCTTGTTAAGAAAAAAAATTTGAACATCCGACCCACTATCCTCACACAACATCAATTTCATCGTCGAAGCTATTGTTGTCATCATTTTCTTCTTCAGAACCGTAACACCCAAGAGGGACTGCCGTTGTAGCACCAGCACAAGCCGTAACTTGATTTGCTTCAGTCGATGATTTGTTCTTCTTCACTGGTTTCAAGCATCTTGACAAATGGTGTCCTTTCTCACCGCAGTTGTAACAGCCCATACGCTTGGTCTTTGCAACGGATGCCAAAGTTTTGCCTTCGTGTCCAAGATAGTCCATAGGCGCCGTAGTAGACAGCTCGTGCGCTTCAAGTGCCCCGATCGCGTCGTCAAGGCTTACTTCTTTCGGGGAGTAGACTAAGTGATCACGAATCGTTTTCCACGAGTCGTCGAGACCTCGCAAGAGCCGATCGCATACCTGTTGGTCGGCCGGTGCTATTTTTGCAGTGTTTAAGTCAGATGCTGCCTTTCTGATCCTAGCAATCCCTTTCACAATCGGCATATTGGGGTCATGGCGAGCTAGCCAAAAATTATCCTCTAGTTGGACCTGACGCGCTTGGGTGTTCTTCTCGTAAGCATCGACAATCTTTGAGAACAGTTTCGATGCCGGTTTAACATCACTATAGCGTATTGCGAGGTCAACAGAGAGTGTCAACTTGATCATTGACCAAGCGAGATCCGACAAGGCGTCCCAGTCCAAACCAAAATCCTCCGGATTGTAGCCCTTTTGATCTGGGGAGCAACCGGACAACTTGCTTTCTTTAGTATTGGAGGGGCGAAGGAGTGACTTGTTGACAATATCCAGAACATTCATGATTGATAAAAGGTCCAAAAGCCGAGAGCGCCAGGCTGCAAACGTTACCGAATTTCCGTCCAAGGTAGGAATTGTAGGTATGAGGTGAGAGGGGTTGTTCAGAGTCCTGAGCGGCATGTTTGAGTACGTCGGGTTTCTGTTCCACAAACTTGAAGTTGCTAAGTCAAAAGACAAAAAAAATTCAAGTCTGAGTATAGATTGATGGATTTTTAAAAGCTAGGGAGCTAGAGCGATGAAGGGGCCATAACCTGTTGCGGTGAACAACGGCTGTGGGACTGAAGGTTCACACGTCTTGTGACAATGAGCAATCACAAAAGAAAACGTAGTTTAGATTCAGTGAGGAATGGAATCACGGTGTGAAGCCTGATGTACTAAATACAACTAGATAGAAGCATACACACGATATAAGCATTCCAACAATTATTTGATGTAGATCGTTGGTAGAAGAAGGAGGAGCTGATGAGGTTGGGGATGAAGTTGAGGGAGAAGAGATTGGACAAGAAGGGATGGAAGAGAAAGCAATCAGTATCAACTGATCCAGAGTAGTTGAAGGGCAATTTTGATTCTTGAAGATATTCTGAGGGGGGGGGGGATTTGAAGTCAGAAAAGTTGAGACAGCTAGTTGAATGTAGATAGCTCCAAGACTGCTGAGTGAGACAGATGGAGGAGTTTATATATATATATATATATAATATAAGTGTGTGTGGAGGGTTTGAGTGTGGACTTTGTGGTTGTGAGAGAGTTGAAGTTGAAGGGTGAGGTTATTCTGAGAGAAATCATTGAGCGTGGAGGGAAGGGTAGTGGGGGAGCTCTGGAGCAGAAAGAATGGAGATGCGCAAGTGGGGAGCAGAGAGCGGCTGATGGAGGGGGGAGGGATTTCATTTGGAGAATTCAAACAATGATGATCATCTACACCGAGCCTTCATGTAGAGCTTGATAAAAACTCCCTGGTCACCCCCAAGTCATCAACCCCTGGCCTGATACGACAGACAAGCCCCGGTTTTCCACGGGACATTCAAGACTCTCAATTCCAGGAAGGCGGCTGTGTCTTGACATCAATGGCTGATGAATGTACAGCAGTTCCCAGAAAGCTTGCATTCACAAGCTCCTGGGGTCCTAATTTTTTTTTGATGCACTTTTATGTGCCTTGGAACCAGTACACAAGACTGTACAGGAAGTGAATCTGCTGCCGAGGCCTTGACGGGGCTCTGGGCACCGGGCTGCTGTTGAGGAGTTGACCGCTTCCATTGAGTCCAAAAAAAAACTCCCAGGATTCCAATGGTCCAACTCTCAAATCTTCAACTTGGGAAATGCGGGAGTTGGGCCGTAATGGCTAGAATACTTTGGCTGTACAAGGCCACCTACAACAGGACAAAAAATAAAAGAAAAAGTGTGGCTCAAAATAAAAACCCCTGGATGGATCCCAGCAGGGGCTTGGGACAGCCAGCGTTCTGGGAGCTGCTGTCCTACTCCAGGGCTCCAGTCCAGTCATACACACACCCTTCCACTCTCATCCCTTGCAGTCTCTTTGCTCATCTTTTCTTATCTATTTGTCCTATCCAATCTCAACCTCCAATCAAATCAAAAGGACAGTTATCATTAGAAGATGATCATCATCATCATCAGAGCTGTATTGTAACTATCTATAAAAAAAACCCCCAAACAAAACCAAACAAACAAACAAACAAAAGCTGGGAAATCACTCACAATGACAATCACTCATGCAGGGATGACTATAACTTTCTCAACAAAAAAAACCAACAGAACCAACGCACCCAAAGACGAAGAAACACGAGCCGGCAAGTTCCGACCCACATCCCCACCAAAGAACAAGCACCCTCTCTCTCTCCCTGACACTGTCACACACTCTCGTACGCCAGAGAAAAGGAACTGAAAACACTGGACAGTTTGCATGACACAACAAGATGAATGAAAGGTTGTCCAGAAAAGATGTCTTTTTTTTATTTTTTTTAAAGGGATCAGAGAGAGATTGTTGATAGGGTTAATTTGAATACAGATAAGATCAAAGAAAAGTATGTGAGGTGACAGAGACGTAGACGAGTCCCCGCCGTCCATGGCCATCCAGACGCTATGCTGGGCCAAACTGGCTAGAGGAGATCGGAACGGTCTGTGCGTCCGCGTCCTCCACTTTAAGGGTTACAGTGAATATTAGAGCGGACTCGAGAAGTTTCCTCTCCCCCCTACTCCTCCCCCTAATTCCTCCCCACAACCCAGTTTGCCGCATACGCTATTCCTTCTTCATCATCGTGTCTCCAAGAAATTTTTCTTTCATCTCCTTTTTCTCTCCCAGGTTAACTAGATCCTGAAAGACTCATCACAACTCGGACAAACCAGGTTAACTAGACCCTGAAAAAAGAAAAGACAACTAGTCGAACCGCCAACGCACCAAGTTTCGAGCACATCCTATTCGTAATCACTCGTAATCACTACCAGGTTAACCAGGCCCTGAAGAATCACAACTAACACCAGGTTAAAATAGACCCTGAGGACATCAAATTTGAAATTTGAGTAGTAAGGTACTTCCTCCAATGACCTAGAGCTCATTGGTTTTGCATTTACTGATAGAAATTGGCCTTTTTTCAATATATAGTTAAGCGCATCATCGTACCGACCGTTTAAGCCCATTTTCTTACCGACCGAGCCTGAATCTTATCAAGTCGGCAAAGCCCCTTTTCGACGTTTGAGTTATCCCCCAAGTAAGCGTCAAAAGTCACGTATTATCCCGAGTAAGCGTCAAAAGTCACGTCCCTCACGATCACAGATAAGATATCAACGATAATATATTAATATTCTCGTTTTCGCGTTTTTGCAGCAAGCGAACGTCCGTCAAATATGGAATCAACACTTAGATCAGCTCCCAAAGTAACGCGCGCGAAATCCGCAAAGAACCCTGTCGTTAACAATGAAAACACATCGTCACCATCAGCAGAAACGGAGACTCCCGTGAACCCTACGATCACATTAGACGCCTCACAGGATAGCGGAGGGGACGAGTCAGTAGATTTGATAAGCAAGAACCCAGTATTATCCACAGAAACGTTGAATGAGATCGCAAGCAAGACGTCAGTCCCACCGATCACCGAACAGATCAATGAAAGAGAACACATTTGGGCTAAGATTAAAGATGCTCAAACCGCAGGCGACGAGATTCTCGCTAGGGCACTACTTATTGCGTATGAATCAATGGACATACAGAAACCTAACGCACCAGCAAGATCCACTTCAGCCCATCCCATACTAGTCACTGCGAATCCAGGTGGGCAACCTAGCTCAGTCCCAACTGAAACTCAATTGGAGGATAATCTCATCTACGCGGTAGGAGCAGTAACCAGCCACCAAGACATAGGCTTCACACCATATTTCGACGAGAACATCAAAAAGTTACGAGCCCCAATCCCTCTCACCATATTCGATAAAGATTGGCAAAAGAAGGCACTAGCAGCACACATGCTCTTGAAACCAGCAAAGTCGTCAGAGGACAAAGCGTACAGAGGTCTCGCGTACTACGACGAATGGACTCAAACCCACTCGGCATGGACCAATAATCACCGGTCTTTCTTCATCACTCTCAGAGACGTGTACAACAAAAGACTTTTCGCAGAGAAACTGCTCATTCACAAAGCGAATTGTGACTCGATCGCAGACGTATACGGATTCATGACGGCTTTCAGATACGACATGCAAATCAGAATGAACGCGTTCGCACACCGACTCCCATCCAAAGACGGAGCCGCAATCCCAGACATTTCGGTCAAACAAGACATCGTAATAGAACAATGCTACAGCATCGTGAGGTCTCACGGCGAGTCAGGCTGGAAGGATAATTTCTACGCACCCGGTGGGTCTCACGCCGGTTTCGACCCCGACACAGGCCTCAAGCGACCCGATTTCAGTCGATCCAACTCGGCCCCAACTCCTTACGGGGGACGCAATTCTTTTATAAATAACAATAGTCACTTCAGTTATTCCAATCACCAAGGACGTAGACGCGAAAATAACAGAAATCGTTTCGAAGGAAATTTTAATCAGGAGAATCCTATTCAACATTATAACTATAACCCAGGTTATAATTACAACCAACATTTCAACGCTCAACAACAGCGCGGTAATTTTGGGCATTCAGACCACCAAAATCAGAACCATCACGGAGGACACCCATATCATCAAAATAACTCTCAAGGGGGCAGTCAAGGAGGCGGCTCGTACAGTCAAAGTGGGAGCGATAGCAGAAAGAGATTTAGATCCGGTAAAGCAGATCAAAATGAGAGAGTAGGCGGAAATGACGTTAATGCTAGTAATCCTAAGCCGTAGGTCACCTTTTTCGTTTATTATGAGCAGATTACAGTGATGATCTTTATAAAGTAAAAAAAAAAAAAAAAAAAAAAAAAAAATTTATTCAATTGTTTTTCACCTTTTTGTAATCTGTTAAATCTAGTGTATGGCCAGTTTCAGTGAAATGCGAAATGAACATTGACATTTGGCAAGAAGCCCTAAGTAAAGCTGGTTTGTTACCAGTGATGAATCATATTATTGATGGGTTCATCAATGGTTTTGATCAGGGGATCCCAGATCACGTGATAGGGAATTTGAGATGGTTCACCCCAGATAACCATTCCTCAGCAATCAACGCTGAGGACAAAATTCAAAAATCCATAAATGAGGAGGTAGAAGCGAAGCGAATGTTCGGCCCATTTTCACACGAAGAAGTTGCGGCGAGATTTAAATTTTTTAGATCAAGTCCACTAGGCTCAGTGGTGAACGCAGATGGTAAGATGCGACCAATAAATGATCTATCTTTCCCTAAGAAAAACGACAAGAAAAACATTGGCATAATGTCGGTAAACTCGTTCGTCAACAAACTCGATTTCAAGACAACGTGGGACGATTTTACGATTGTATCAAATTTTTTCAGGAACAATGAAGACAAATTCGACTTAGCACTTTTCGACTGGGCGAAGGCGTACCGTCAAATACCAACGAAGTCATCCCAGTGGCCATTTTTAATGGTAAAGGATCTAAAAGGGGACCTGTACGTCGACACCAGAATTACTTTCGGAGGCGTCGCAGGATGTGGATCTTTCGGACTTCCGGCAGACACGTGGAAACAAATAATGGAATCGGAATTCGACGTGAAGAAAATTTTCAGATGGGTAGATGACAATCTATTCGTGAAGAAGACCGACTCTCTGTGTAACATGAAGGCGGTTTCAGAAAGATCGGTCGAATTAGGGGTGGCCACTAGCGTGGATAAGTGCACTGAATTCGCAAGAGAACAAAAATTTATCGGTTTTATATGGA